TATTATTCAGTTCTTTCCTCCACCTGCCATGCGCAAAATGGCCACGAGATGGCGGGATATTATTAAATTCTGTCCGCCACCTGCAATGACGCAAAATGGCCACGAGATGGCGGTCTACTATTGTCAATGCAATTTCCCCTAGACTTTGAAAACCGCGGTTTTCATGTAATTTATCGTCACCCCGTTTTCCCCCCTAGAGTGATGGGGGGACTCAGAGTAAGACCCCTCGTCGGATTTCGCCACATCTATAACCTGATTATTTTTATGTTAACTTTCGCGATTCCTTCCCTGCGCCTGGCATAACCAAAAGCCTCCACCCGGTGGCAGGCTGTCATTGCTCTGGATTTTCTGTACTTCGCCTGCCATGAGGCCAAAGGGGGCTGGGGGGCAGGGAGGGTGTCAGGTTCAGTGCCAGGGGCAGCCCCACCCGCTCCCGAGCCCTGGCAGCCTCCTGGAGGGCTGAGCTACCACCCCATGCAAAGCTCGGTTGGGGGAGGGGGGCACCTCAGCAGCAGGCTAGGGGAGGCTTTGGAGGTGTGCAGGGCTGTCCCCTTGGGCTCCTCCCCCCCCCAGGCCGTTCTTGACAGGTGAAGCATGTTCTGCTCTTTGCCTTGCAGGGAACACGGGACTCCTGGGCGCCAACCTATTCTTCGAAATGCTGTGCACCCTCCCTGGGGTGAAGAGGCAGCCCGTCCCCCAGAAGGCTGACTCTCTGAATAGAAGGGGGGGTCCCTTCGCCCCCCCTTGGAAACAAGCAGGATCGGGAATCGGAGGCTGGTTGTTTTCCGTTTTTACAACGTCAAGTAGCTAGTCCTCACTGGTGCAGTGAAAACCCAAGGGCACTGGAGGGGACAGTGGCAGGAGGCCGGATCCCCTGCAAGGAAAAGCTGCAGATTGGCTGAGTCCGTCCCCTGACCCCCCTCACCAAAGACGACCGGAACCCAGATTCGTGGAAGAGAGGCAGCTGCCCTCTAGAGCCCCCCCCCCACCCGAGCCCCTGAAGCGGAGGAACCGGCCCCCTCAGGGAAGCCCACCCAGCGCAAAGGTTAGGCCAGTTTCCCCAGAGACAACCCCCCCTCCCCACACCCTGAGTGACGGCACCGTCTTGTGGCCAGACATTAAAATAAGTTTATTTCAGCTTCAAACTGGTTTCAGAGTCCTCAAGCCAAGCAAACCCCAACTAAAGGCAGGGCTTGTTCACAGGTACCCGGAAAGGGGAGGGGGAGGAAAGGCTGCCCAATAAATTAATTATTCTCCAACCCCGCCCCCTCCTATCAAAAGTGCAAATAATCCATCCCTATTCTTCCAAGCCGCTCCCCTGCCTGGCCCCCCCCTTTCCTTCAGCAGGTGGGAGGCAACACAGGGAGGGGGAGGGAAGAGGTGGGGGTGGGTGGGGGAAGGCCCTGAAAGGGGAGGGGCTGAAGGCTCTGGGCTGCCTCCTTCCTTTTGGCTGCAGGCCGCTGGGGGGTAGTGGGGGGGGAAGCGCTACAGAGTCAGGCCAGCCGCCATCGCTTGGCAAGGGAGCTGCCTCGGCTTTGGCACCGGCCGTTCGAGGGCCCAGGTGGCCCCTCTGTCCCAAGGGGGGCGGGGGGGGCGAGGGGGGCATCTACCTTGGCAAAGCTTCACCCTGCGTGCAGCTCCCCCCCCTTCTCCCCTCCCCCCGCCAGCCAGCTTCCGTCCTCAAGGGATCTTGTCTCACACACCGGCGCACACACACACACACACAGCCTGAAACTGAGGTGAGTGGGGGGGGAGCCAGTGGGGAGAACAGAGACCCAGAGGAGGCATGCTAGGGAGCACAAAACAAAAGCCCCCCCCCCCCTCGTTCCTCTATTCCCCCACCGTAAAGAACCCCTGCAGACACCTCTGCACCGGCCTGTGGGGTGGGGTGGGGTGGGGGGGATTGTATTTCCCAATAGTACCGAAAGGCCTCCCCGCATGGAGAAAGCCAGCACCTCAAGGAGGGGGCAGAGTTCCCTACCATTCACCAGGAGTTGAAGGGGAGGAGAAGCTGCTGCCTATCGCCTCCCCCCCACCCCCCCATACCTGATCCAGGCAGGATCTGGACACGCAGATCGGCTCAAAGGACCCCAAACAGCCCCCTGCCCGAAAGAGACACGGACGCTGCCCCCCCTAACCCTAACCCGAGGGGCAAAGAGGCAGCTGCACAACATTGTAAACAAAGGCAACCGAAACGGGGCTGGCTTCAGCCAGGGAGAGCTGGGCGGAGGGGACCCCAGTCTTCCTGCCCGGCTGGCACCAGGTGGACGGGGGGGGGGGGGGGGGGGGGGGGGGGGCGCAGAGCAGCCGGCTTATGGCTCTGGATTAGACATCCTGACCCGGACAGCCCCAGGCGGGAGGAGGGAAGCGGCGGCTCCTGGACCTGCGTGGGCCCTGGCCAGGCTCAGCTTCCCCAGACTGGAGGGGTGAGATGGCAAACACCCCCCCCTCCCTGCCCCCAACTTAGACTGCCTGTCCTGTTAAACGATCAAGGGGAGCCCCTCCCACCAGGGAAGACACGCCAGCCAGAAGTGGCAGGGGGGGGGGGCAGGCAAGTGAGCCCATCTTCGAAGGAGCAGTGGCCATAAGAGAGTCCGTCCGTCAGGAGATCTGGCAGCGGCAGCAGCGGCGGCAGCGGCTCCTGCAGACCCTTCGAAGGCTGGGGAAGCGGGCGGGGGGGGGGGGGGGGGGGGGGGGGGGAAAGCCCCCCCCCCCAGCCGGGCTCCCCTGAGGCAGTCCGGAGTATTTGGAACCCGGGGGGGCGGGGGGGGAGCAGTCAGTGCAGTTTCTAACTCACCGGGCCTAGGAGAGGTCATCTAAACGCTACAGTCTGTCGGATGCCCGAGGGGCTCCAGGGGCTCCTCCTTCCAAGCCTGCAGTAACGCAGCCACCTCTCGGCCATTCGGGGGGGACGGGGGGACTTTAATGGGGGTTCAGTCCAGGGCAGGCCAAGAGGGGATGTAAAATCTCTGCAGGGACCCCTCCAGCAGCCGCTCCATCCAGAAGGACAGCCGCTGCAGCTTGCTCTTCACGCCCCGCAGGCTGCCCGAGGAAGAGGGCCTGCCCCACGCCTCTGCGGGGTCGGCTGCCTCGTCCTCGCAGGGACCCTCCTCGGGCTGCGGGGGCCGGAAGAGGCAGAAGTACTTCCTGTGGCCGTTGAGGGCCAGGACGTAGCCAGCGTAGTCGCGCTCCAGGAAGTGCTTGTCGTACTGGTTGGGGATGGGGGCCGCATCCTGCGCAAACTCCAGCACGCACTCCAGCCACTCCCGGTGCTTGTCCAGGCTCAGGAAGGAGAAGTGGAGGCAGCTGCTTCTGCGGGGGGTGGGAGGGAGGGGGGTCCAGGGAGGTCATCCAGAAGAGGCCCAACCCTGCCCGCTAGGGGCTGGAATCAGGCCGCCCGCCCCTTCCCTCCCAGGCCTCATGGGGGGGCGCTCACCCCGTGAAGGTGAAGACCTCCTGAGCGAACCTCTGCAGCAGAGGGGTCTTGGTGGCGTTGGAGAGGATGAGGACCACGTTGATGTGGCCAGGCCTCAGCCGCACCAGGTTGCTCGTGTACGTGAGGTCCGTCAGCTCCGTCACTTTCACCGAGTACTTCTTGGGGATCCTGCAAGAGAGCGCCAGGCCGTCTCCGCCCAGGGAGAGCGTTGGGGGGGGAGGGGGGGGCGATTCAGCCGCATGAGAGGCAGCCGGGATCCTCAGTTGCCTTGTTAAACAATGCCCACCCACCTGTCTTCCTTGGGGAAGCTCGTCTCGTTCTTCTCGCTCTTGGGGGGAGGGTCCTCCTTCTTGGAGGGGGGCAGGTCCCTCTCGTCACTCGAATCGCTGGAAGAGAGAAGCCGGGGCTGGTCCGGGGGCTCTGGGGTCCTGCACGTCTGGACCCCCCCTCCCAAAAACGGACCGAGGGGCCTCACCTGAACGCCTGCACGATCACCGTCCCAAAGAGGATGAAAAGTGCCGAGAAGATGAGGGACAGCAAAGGCATCATCTCCCGCCTGGAGGAGGAGAGGGAGGGCGGATGAAGGGGGCCCCCCTTGGCCCCCGAATGGAACGCGAGGGTGGGGGATCCAAGCGGCCTCTCTGGATCTCACAGGGACCTCTAACTATGGGGGGGGGAGCCCCGTCTACTGCTAAGGGTCCAGGTGCCCCCCAGGTCATGAGGGGGTGCAGAGGGGCCCCCATTCCTCCTCGGAGTCTCCCCTGTCTTGGCAAAGAAGGACTCCGCTGGGGGCCTTTCTACCTTTTCACCAATCTTCCCAAACTGAGGGCAGCAGGGGATTATGGGCTTTGGAGGAGCCTGGCTCAGGAGCCTGGACACGCACCAGTTGCTGCGGAAGAGGCTCTCCCAGCAGTCCACGGCGTAGTCCACGGCAGAGTAGGCCCACCGGAGGAAGAAAACCTGCCACGGAGAGGCCACGCGGGGTCAGCAGAGAGGCTGGTGGAGGGGAGGGGGCAGCCCCCGGTCCCTGGCGGCTGCAGCTTCACCCAGCCAGGCAGCCTAGCTGAGGGGCCTCCCTCCTTCCAGGGAACAGTCTCCTCTGGGTGTCCCGTCTCCCCCCAGAAATCAAAGCCGGCCTATGGACTACCGAGAATTCACCAGGCAAGAGAACCCACATTTTTCGGGTTCTCCGCCAGAGGCCGAGGGGGCTGCTGGTCACCGGGGTCCCCGCCTCTCCCCCCCCGCCCCCCGAGGGCTTACAGGCGCCAGCTCGTCCGTCAGGTCCGCCAGGACAGCCTGGGCGGAGAGGAAGGAGGCGTCCATCCTCAGCTGGTCCAGGAAGTCCAGCAGGGTGAAGGCGTCCTCCTCAGTGCCCGTCCAGGGATCCTCCAGGGCCCTGTACACCACCTGCCCGGCATTGGTGCGTCTCTCGAGGATCAGCACCTGCGAAAGGGGAGGCCGCGGGGGAGGGTGTCAGAGCATCCCCTTTCATCAGCGCTTCTGCCCCTCCGGCACCTCCAGTGGGGCTGCCCAACCCTTGGGGGAGAAAGGGACCTTTCAGGCTGGCTTGGGGGGAGCAATGCAGGCATGCCCGTGTCCGTTCCCCCCCACCCCCATCGCCAGGCAAGCGGGGTCCCCGGAGTCCCGAGCGAGGCCAGGGAAGAAGGCAGACTGACGTTGGCTGCCGCACTGCTGGGGAAGGAGGAATGCGGGGGTGGGGGCTGACGGGGGTGGGGGCTGACCCGGGTGGGGGCAGGAGGCCAGCTCACAACACTCACAGCCGACTTGGCCTGGGACCAGGCGACCCCCGGGAGCAGAGTGCGGACGAAGTCCGGCTGGTAGTCGCCGTAGATGTGGGCAAACCGCAGGGTCTCCTTCGTGTTGGCCACGGCGAAGGCCAGGAAGGCCTCGTAGCCCTCCACGTACTTCTCCCCCTTGCCCATGGCCAGGACCACGCAGTACCTGCATCGGCACAGGGTGCCACCACGTAGAAGCATGAGGACTAGCTCCGTGGCAGGAGACGCCCCGCCTGTCCCCCCCCCCCCCCCCCCCAGGCTCTGGGCTCCACTTTGCCAGCCACCCAGGTTTACTCATAGTTGGAGGTCCTGGACTCCAACTTTGGAGTCTGGAACCAGCCACCTCGAAGCTGGAAGCCCCCCCCCCCCCCCCCCCCCCGCAAAGATTCTGGGAGTTTCATCCCCCTCCCCCCTTGGAGGAGATGGGAGCCGGAGCGCATGTGTGCGGGTGGGGGGAGCTCACTTGTGCTGCCTGTGGGATTTTTTCACAGGGCACAATTCCCGGAAGAGCTTCTGGCTGGTCAGGCGGGAGGCCAGGAGGAATTTGTTCTGGGACAGGAAGTCATCGATCAGCTGCTTCCTCATGTGCCGGGCCTGTGGGAGGAGAGGCAGTAAGGCCCCCTCTGGACATAAGGCCAGGCCTCAAGGCCCCCCGACCCCCGAGGGGAAAGAGCCCCAAAGGCTCGGCCTGCGCTGCGCTGCGCTGGGGGTCCCGGGGGGCCTACCTGGATGACGTCGGCCGGCTTCTCCACCTGCTCCTTGAAGACCATCATGGTGGGCGTGTAGACGTTGATGTTGTACTGCCGGGAAAGCTCCTCGGTGCCCTGGAGCCCCACGTAGACGTAGCCGAAGGAGAGGTAGTCTCGGTACGCAAAGGCCGCCAGCTGGAAGGGAGCCCTGGGAGTCAGGAGCCCCGGCAGTCCCCTCCTCAGGGCATCCCCACGGCCACCGAAGGAGGGGAGGGGGAGCTGTGTTCAGGGTCCCCAGGCGGTGGAGGATGGGCCTTTTAAATCCCCACGCTCCGTGCTTCCTCGCCCCTCCCCCCCCCGACTTCTGAGCGCCCTTTGTGGCCCCTGAAGCCCCCCGTGGCTTCAATGGGTCCAGAAGAGACGCCCTGTTGAACGGTGGAGGAGGGCAGATTGCACAGCCTGGGCCCCTCCCCCTGTCCCCCAAAGGGGGTCTCCCCCAAGGCCTGGGCTCCCCCCGCAAGCGCTGGGGTTTCAGAGACCGACCTTGTAGAGGAGGGGCGCCAGGGGCGTGTGGTCGAAGAGCAGGACGTGAGGCTTGTTTTCCTTCTTCCAGCTGGACAGGAACCGGACGTAGTTCTTGTCTGTAATCTGCCGGTTGTGGCGGGGAGAGGAGGCCGTCAGATCCCCCCCATCAGATCCCCCCCGCCAGCCGAAAGGGGCCCACGGAGGTGCCTCAGGCCCCCCTGGATACTGATGCGGCCCCCTGGATTGGTCAAAGGCGTTTCCCAGCTACCTTGCCCAGGTGAGTGAACCCTTGGAAGAGACTTAGGCCCAACCTCTCCCTGCGCAGGCTCTGCAGCTGAGGGCGGCCCAACCCGCCCCCTCAGGCCCTCCCCCTTGGAAACTGAGTGGGGGGGTGGGTCTGTGGGGAGGGGGCCGCTGCTGACCTTCTCCACCAGGGCCCCAGGGAGCAGGCTCTCCACAAACTGACGGAGGTTCTCCCGGACGACCGCGTTGTGAAAGAAGGTGACCTTCCCGTTGATCAGGCCCAGGATGGAGGGGGTGCTGTGTGCTCCCAGGTGCTGGGCCAGGCGCCGCTCGTAGCCCGCATGGATGACGCCGATCCCCACGCCTGGCAGGGGAAGGACGGAGCCCTCAACATGGGAGCCAGCCCACCCAGGGCCTCTCTGCCCGGAAGGAGCTGAAGCCTTGTTCCGGACAGGCTAACCTCAGACCACCTCTGACCCTGGCCCAGAGCAGCCGTGGCAGGTGCCATCCCGAAAGGCAACGCCCAGCCTCGGCCTCTCAGGGTGCGCAGCGTCACCTCACCCAGGCCCCCGACGGAAACACCCCCCCCCCGGCAACACGCTCTCCCTCGCTGCCTCCCTCTCTGCCTCGGGCTCCTCACCCAGCGCCTCCAACTCCTGCACCACCTCCTTCCAGACCGGCTCGATGTGGACACAGCTGAAGCACCAGTCGGAGGTGATCTTGATCAGGTAAGGCTTCCGGAAGCTCTCGGGAACCACCTCGTTGACGTAGTGGGAGAAGTGCAGCAGGTACTTCTCGTCGGTGGAGTCCTGGTGGCGCTCCGAGTTGAAGGGGAAGTGGAAGAAGGACTCGTCAAAGTAGAAGCTCTCGTGGAAGGGGTGCGCGTGGCGGTGCGGCGCCTGTTGCTGCTGGTGCGGGAAGCCCTGGTTCTCGCCCACATCGCCATAGCGGTCAAAATTCAACCGTTTCTCCTCGTTGGACAGGATCTGCGTGGGAAGACCGGGCTCTCATCCCCTTCTTCTTCTTCCGACTGGCCTTCCCCCTCCACACACACACACACACACACACACACACACACACACACACAACCCGCAGCTGTCCCTCTCACATGTCTGCAGACTTGGACCCACAAACTCCGACCTCCATACCTCGTAGGCTTTGCTGATTTGTATAAACTTGTCTTCCGCTCCTGGGTCTCTATTCTTGTCCGGATGCCTGGAAGGTCAATGAAAAAAGATCAGCAGCGGCTTGAGAACGGACAGCTTTACAAAGTTATGCACGGTGGGCGGAGAGCTCTACTTTTAACCTGACCATCTTTAGTTCCTGCTCATTTTGTCATAGTTAGGTAACTTTGACTTTGTTTTTAATTTTAAGAGCCCTGGTGGCACCTTTAGAATGCAGCATTGGGTTGGCTCCGTCTTCCGTCCTTCTGAGGTCGGTAAAAGGAGGATTCAGCTGGTCGGGGAGGGGGCAATACGCAGCTAATGCTGACATCGTAAACTTCTTAGAGAGGGCTGTAAAAGCCCTATGAAGTACCATATATGGCTACACGCTATTGCTTTTGCCAATTTATTGCTCGTATATCATTTCAAGAAGATGGACAATAAAAGGAAAAAAAAAAGAGCTACAAGAACCCACTGGCATTTAATGAACCACTAAGCATCCCAACGTGCTTTTAACGGCTCACCCATTTCCCCACGACTGGCAGTTGGTCAGAGCAAAAGCACTGAAAACCCCAATTCGTCAGGCGAGTATTGGATAACAATCACTTTAGTTCTCTTCAGAATCAGATTACTCCGAATTTGATGTACTCACCATTCCCGGGCGAGTCTCTTGTAGGCTTTTTTAATATCCACCTGGCTCGCAGTCCTGCTGACGCCCAGGATCCGATACGGGTCAAAATCGACGGCTGACAAGATTTGCAAGGCCAGGACGAGGAAGAGGACCAGCACCAGGGAGAGGCTGAGCCTTTTCATCTCCATCTCCTTTCCTGCAGGGAACCCGGCCGGGAGCCTTCCTGGGGACAAGGAGAGAGGTCAGGGCCTGCGGGGGGCCTCCCAGATCAACCACGCACCCCGTCATTACCTGGAAAGCAAAGCATTTCTGACCCTCTTGCTTATCTGGAGACGGTTTAATTCCTGCAGCTAAAAAGTATTGCCAACCTTCTCAAGTTCTTTATAATAACCTCAAAACAATGCTGATATTCTACAGCACAAGACAGACGGAGCCATCCAGGGGAGCAGCGCAAAGCGGATAGTTCTTTTTGTGCAGGGTGAGATGGATACAGCAGCCTTTTGTCACCAAGGCAGCAGGCGCTAGTGGAACGTTCAGAAAAAGATTCCTTGAATAAAAATTCACACCCAGCCCCAAAACTTCCAGGTTCAGCTGAGGAAATCTGCCCTCGCAGCACCTCAGGGCTGTTTTTCACACAGGACGCCAAACCGGACAGACGAGGCGCCTTGATCCAGACGTCCAGCTTCTGTTGCTCGTCGGCAGGTGGACGGACTGCAGGCCAGGGAAGGAGGCCGCAGGAGGCTCCTCGGACGTCTCGGCCCCCGGGGTCGCCGGCAGGAGGAGAGACGGTCCAGGGCTCTGCTGGGAGGGGTCTCCGTCCCCTCGGGGCAGGGGGCACCGTGCCCTCCGCAGGCTGAGGCTTGCCGGGTCTCCTGCCTCCGCCCAGGGAGGGTCTTTCGGGGCTGCTCCTGCCTCCAGGGGTCCAGGCAGCCCCCCTGTGGGGGCTATTTTGTGGCCTCCATCAGAGCTTTTGAGGGGGGCAGCCAGGGACCCTCAACTTTTTTCCTCCCTCCTCGGGGGGGCTAGGATGCCCTGGGGGCCCTTGACGCGCATGCGCAGAGCCTTCTCTCTCTCTCTCTCTCTCTCTCTCTCTCTCTCTCTCTCTCCCCGCCCCCGTCCCTTCCACGGAGGGCCCGATCCTGGGCGGCTCCTTCCCCAACCTGCCGCTGAGGGGCTTCCGCTCCTTCGGAATCCCGCCAAGAGGAGGGGGCCCGACCCACCCACCGCCGCCAAGGCTTCCCAGGCCCGGCCCTCCCGCCCCCGTTGAGTGGCTCCTGATGGGCCAGAGGCTACGTCGTCCCCCTCCTCCCCCTGGCCGAGCGACTACGAGATGCCCCGCCCGGGAGGAAAGCGGGGGTCGAAGGGCGCGCGCAATACCCACCGAGGGCTCCTCTTGTCTCCCCGGTCCCCACTTCCGGCTCGGCGGCCTCGTCACCATAGAGACGGCGCAGACGGCGCTAACTTCCGGCGTGGGGTTCGACCCGCCTCCCCGCACGGATCCGGGGGGGGGGCGGAGGACGGGCAGAAGCGCGCGCATGCGCAGCAGCGCCGTTTCCCCCCCCACCGGCGGGCGGCCATGGAGGAGACGGACCGGCGGCGGCTGCTTCGCTTCCGGGTGCGGCTGTTGACGGAGCTGCGTCTGGAGTCGCTGTGGGCGCCGCTGCTGCGCCGGGACCTCTTCACCCCGGACATGATCGAGGAGATCCAGGTACCGCGCGGCCCATGGGGCGCGGCCAGGGGTGTGAGGAGCAACCGGAGGGTCCTGATGCCCGGCCGGCCTCTCCGGGCGAGGCTGATATGCGAGGGGGGGACGGGATCCCCGTGTGGCCATCTATTCGTGTCCCAACGCCCCCCCCTTCTCTCTCTCTGCGCCCGCGCAGGCGGCGGGGACGCGGCGGGACCAGGCGAGGCAGCTGCTGAGCGACTTGGAGACGCGGGGCCGGAGGGCCATGGGGGACTTCGTGCTCTGCCTGCGGGAGAGCGGCCAGGAGGCGCTGGCGGAGCTGCTGAGCGACGGACGCCCCCCGGAGGGACGCCCTGACCAGTCCCCGAGGCACTCGGAGGTCCATCATCCCCTGCCCGGAAAGCCCCCCTCCGCCCAGCCCGGTAAGTGGGGCATGTCGCCCCCCCAACACCCCCTCCATCCTCCACGCCCCCCAGCAGCAGTGGGGGGGGGGTTCTGCGGTTGTTTGGGGGCAGCATCACCCGTCGCTGGTGGTCCTCGGCTTACGACCATTGGTTTAGTAGCCGTTCAGATTGGTCGCCCTTCGTTGTCGCTACACAACACACACGCGCACATGCACACTGAGCACCTTCAAGCTGTGTGGGCCAGGGAAGGGAGGAACAGGAAGAAGGGAGCTGTTCTCACCTCTCGCCCAGGGAGCCAGCCAGAGTCCCGCTAGCCTTGGCTTCAAGGTGCGGCTTGGCTCAACGCTTTTGTGACGGAGGTTGCTGCACTTATTTCCCCTTCTCCCTCCTCTTGTAGGCCCCGTGGAAGAGCAGCCCCAAAGGGATTCTGAAATGGTGAGTTTGCTCCTTTCCTGGGCAACAGGGTAAAGGTTTCCCTCTCTCCAGCCTTCCCAGGTGCTGAGTTTGAGCCCTGGTGCCCACATAAAGCTCCCCCCACCCACCCACCCACCCGCAGTGGGGGCTGCCTCTGGAACTTCAGCAGGCGGGATGGAAGGCCTGCAACTCTCCAGCGCTTTGCTTCTCTTCAAATGAGCGTTGAGCCGTTTCCTCCCCTGTAAAGGAGACTTTGGTTTTTCTGCCATCCTTCTCACAGGGATTTCTGGATTTTTGTTTTTTGTTTTAATTGTTGAAATCGGGTTCTATCTCCCTGGCTGCCCTCACTTCCCCATGTGAAAAACTCACAAGGAATTTCTTGTCTCCTCTTGAGAAAACCCTACCCAGAGTCGCCTTGTAAGGAAGGCGGGCAGCGTAAAATCTCCAGCGAAAGTTTTATCCAAGATTTTATCCTCCAGTCAGAGGCCACACTTGGGCTAAGGGCAGCTCGAGGTCGCTTTGCAGTGGTGCCAAGCTGGAGTAACTCTCTGATGTGTCCTGACAGGTTTACCCCCTGAATTCTGAGCCTTGCGGCTACTGTCTCATCATCAACAATGTCCATTTTGACAAAGACACGGATTTGAAACATCGCCTGGGCTCCAACATCGATCGCCAGAGGCTGGAAAAGAGATTCCAGGCACTTCATTTCGAGGTCTTGACCAAGGAAGACCTTACAGCTCAGGTGAGCATCTAAGTTGGGGCTTGGAGGGAGCCTTGTAGAGAGAGGAAAACCATACTACAGAACAAGAGAACTTGTCTGGGTCCAGGTGGTTATCTAGCCGCACCCCTGGTTGCGCACAAGGACCCACACTTCAGAATATGGCTGTAGTAGTCTGGGCATCGTGCAGGGTCATCTCCAAGCTGACCTCATCCAGCGCTCCTTCAGAGGCAATTTATTTTTAATTTGTGACTTGAGGTTTCTGTACAGAAAAAACAAACTGTTTAAGAATAAGAACTAGAAAAGGGTTTTGAAAAACAGATGAAGTTAAAAGCTGTATTTCTAGAATAGCAGTGAGGGCATTGTTTATAAATAAACATAAAAAGTAGCATATAAATAAGTAATAAAATGGATCAGGAGCGTCTGGCCTGCCGGTGGTGGCCTAGTTGAGACCCTCCCCGCTCAACTGCTGTCAAATTCCTGTCTCAAAGGGGAAACTATCTCCCCCTCCTCAAGATCTGGATTCAGCTTTGGAAACGGTTGTAGGGCAACGGTTCTTCTTCCTTGTTTCCACTGCTTGTCAGAAAGAGGCCGAAAGGAAGTTGGTCTTGCTGGGCAGGCTGCCTTTGCTGCTGCTGGGCATCCTCAGTGCCTCCCTCTCCCTGCCCCACAAAAAGCTTTAGACGTTTTATGGCCGCCGTTGTCCCAGCCCCTCAAGTTTAGAGCTTGCCTGAGAGAGATGTCCGACGTTTGGCTCAACCTGCCTTCTCTGGGAACACCCTCAGGAAATCGCCAAGGAGCTGCAGGGCCTGTCCAGGCGTGATCACAGCGGCCGGGACTGCTGCGTGGTGGTCATCCTCTCCCACGGCTGCAAGGTAGGCGTGTGCCCAGTGTGCGCTTGGTGCAGGATGGTGGCGTGCGGGAGAGTGGATGGGCCGTAACTCCCCTTTTCAGGCTAGGTTGTAACTCTGCCCTGTCTAAGCGACCTGCCCCCTCAGAGCTTCCCTTCCCCGGGGGTCGCTCCCAAGAGTCACCTGGCCTCTTCCAGAGCTACCACATCCAGATTCCAGGCGCCATCTTTGGGACGGACGGGCAGCGCATCCCGGTGCAGAAGGTGGTCAGCTATTTCAACGGCTCCCACTGCCCGAGTCTGAGGGGGAAGCCAAAACTGTTCTTCATCCAGGCCTGCGGAGGAGGTGAGGGGGGGGGGTTTCTCCTGCAGAAACGTAGTGACCTTTGATTTCCAGAGGGAGGGGCCACGGGGCCCAAACCATCACCTGGGAAAACAAACCTCTTTGCCTCCTCAGAGGAAAAAGACGAAGGCTTTGAAATGGAGGCAGACACACCGCCAGGCCGGCGTGAAGGAAAGGCTGTGGAGTCGGACGCCACCCCGATGCCAGGGCCAGGAGGAGATTCTGATGAACTCGATGCCACGGCTAGTCTGCCCACGGACAGCGACATCTTGGTTTGCTATTCCACCTCTCCAGGTAAGGGGAAACACTCGGCAGTCACCGGGGAGGCCCCCTCCTGTGCCACGGATGGGCACCACTTCACCTTCCGTGGTCACCTTTCAACTGTGAGGACAGGCGGGTTCTGACATGCGGCACTTGTGTCCCAAAGGCTACGTCTCCTGGCGGGACATCCAAAGCGGCTCCTGGTTCATCGAGGCGCTGGATCACGTCTTGGCCGAATATGCCCACCGGGAGGATCTGCCCAGCATCCTCATGAAGGTACCTTTGCCAGCCCTCTGGGCCTCCAGGAAACCCAGCAGCTTCTCTTCCCCGGCCCAAACTGGGGTAGGAAGCGTGCAATGCCTTCCTTGTCCTAAAGCCAAACTGGGTGGTGGTGGTGGTGGTGGTGGTGGTTCCATCCCAGCGAGATGGGGACCCAGGTAGCCCTCTGCAGGACCCCATTTCTCACTCCCCCCACTTTGTTTCTCCAGATGGCGAACATCGTCGCTGCCAAAGTTGCGGGGTCTTACAAGCAAATGCCGGGTCACTTCAACATGCTTCGGAAAAAGTTTTTCTTCAGGGTCTAACAAACTTTTTGCTGGTTCTTCAACGTTCCTGGGACTTGAGACACATTTAGACACACAAGGAATTTGTCTTGGTGCATATGCTTTTTACGTACACTGAGACCATTTGCACCAAGACAAAGTCCTTGTGTGTTTAGTCTCACTTGGGCAATAAAGAATTCATTTCTGGAGATGTGTTTTTGGTGGGTGTTTTTTTGACGTTTAAGGCCCCATTTTGCCATCTGGTGCCTTTCCAGTGCTGTGTTCCATGGCGAAGACCCCACCAGCAGGCAGAGAACCCAAATATCCCCCCCCCCCGTCCCCTCCCCTGTCGGCCAGCCTTTGGAGTTGCATGGAAACCTCATCTTCACTGAGCTCTAATGGAACCGATGGGAACCAGGTTTCTACTGTTTACATTTCTCTTCTTCCTCTTTTTAAGAAATCGAGATAATTATAATGAGAAGGGGGTCCTAGAAATTGTTTTTGAGCCACAAGTGTTCATCTTTTACAAAAAACCTTTAAGAGATAAACACGGTGTCTTAAATTGTTTAATTATTCAAGGGAAAAGCAGTGTCTCATAATCTTTTTACATCATTAAATATTTAAATTCCTGAGCTCTGTATCCGTTTCTTATTTCATCTGTTCTTGGCAGCTTTCGTGCATCAAGGCTGAATCCCCCCAGAAGCAGCAGGAACTTCCAGGGTCTCCCTGGCAACAATACCCAACCCAGCCACTGGAGGCAGCACCCACTGATAAACGCATGATGCTATTTTCTTTGTGACACTAGTACCTCATTCAGCCACCAGGGGGCATTGGTCTTTGGTCATATGCCCTAACTTTATGTGCCCAGTACTCAATTCAGCCACTGGGAGTGGGGGGGCACCATCCACAGTTCAACACTGACCTACATTCTCTTCTATTGATTCCAATCTCAGTTGTGGTCATAAATTGAGGACTGCCTGTATTCCCAGACATAACGGTGAGGAGTCTTGGGGGAGGGGGCAGGAGAAGTTATAAACTGGCCCAGTAACGGCACTGGGAAAAAGGGGACTTGGGAGCGTTTCTCACACGAACCGTGGCCGCCTCTCTGGGGTCACGTGATCCAGATTCTGGCGACTAACTCAGTTATGACGGTCGCAGTGTCCCGAGGTCACGTGATCCCCTTTTGCAGCTTGCTGACAAGCAAAGCCAATGGGGGAAGCCAGATTCATTTAACAGCTGTGTGAGTACCTTACCGACTGCAGTGGTTGGCTTAACGATGGTGCCAAGGGAGGTGATAAAAAGGGGGCAAAACTCTCTCAACCGATATCTCGGCAACATGTATGTTGGGCTCTGTTGTGGTCTTAAGTGGAGGATCCCCCCCCCCCCCGACCTCCTCCTCCTCCTCCTCCTCTGCGCTTTGCCTGACTGGGGTGGCTTCCTTCCTCGGAGGGGCCATTGTGCGGCGGCTTCAGTTGTGGTGAACAGGAGAGGCAAAGCCACACACAGACAGAGCTGGAGGTGAGTGAATGGCCGGGAGGAGCCCCGGGCTTTGGGGGCCAGGAAACGCTACAGACACGGCCCTTCGGGGTGCCAAAAGGTTTTATTGAGTGTTTATTTCTCGGTATCGGTTGGCCAGGAGGCTCAGCCACAGCTCCTCAGTTCTGAGTCATCTTCTACGGGAGGGAAAAGACAAAGCGAAGGGACTTGTGTTCACAGCCGCTCAGCGGGGGCTTTTTTCCTGGACAAATCCTGGTAGGAGCTGCAGCATCTGCCCCCAAAACCCACCTGACACCTTCCCAGCATAACCAGGCCCCAATTCCCCCCCCCCACCCCCCACCCCCCGGGGAGAAGCAGACCTACATGGTGTCTCCTTGGGGTGAGCGACGTTAGCAGCAGCCGTAGCCAGACGACCCCTTTGGCAGGAGACGCCTGGCTCTTTGGGGCCTGCACTCTGCGCATGCCCCAGCCCCAGAAGGGTCAGAGCCAAGCCTATTACGGAGGACGCTTTGTGACCTCATGGCCATAGAATCTGGGTCTCCCCGACTGTCCCAATGCTCTGGAGGGGGGCGGGGCTCGGAGTCCGTGGGGAAAGCACCCTGCCCCCACCCCCCTCACCTGGGTGATCCAGGCGATGTAGCTGGAGACCCGGGTGAAGACGGTGGGCTTCTTGGCCGTGTTGCAGCCGAGGGCGGACCCAAAGCTAACGATGCCGTGCACTTGCCAGGAGCCGCCAATGAGGCAGTTCAAGGGCCCACCGGAGTCGCCCTGAGGACAAAGGAGGGCAGGCTGGCTGCAGGGACGGGAGAGGCGCAACCCCCCCCCCCAACGGGGCTGCGCCTATGTCCCCGTCCTTTTACGCGCTGAGGGTGCGACACCGGATTGCGCTGGGTTGGATCCCAGCTTCCTGCCAATCCAGCCATGAAGCTCCGCAGGTCCACGCAGGACTAGAACCCAGGCGGCTGCGGCTGGTCATGAGTTACGTTAACCACTCAACTCCTTTGGCCGCCCCCCCCCCCCCCCCTCGTGCAGGGGAAGCACACCTACATTGCACCCCGAAATGACGCCGTCTCCCCCCGCGCAGACCATGCTGGGCTTGACCATAGCGCCCCACCAGTCCTTCTGGGTGCAGGTGGCGTGGTCCACCACGGGCAGCAAGCCCTGCTGAAGGGTGTCCGCGATGGGCCCGTTGGCTGCAAGGGAGGGAGAGGCTCAGAGGGGCGTTAGGAGCCCAGGGCAGCAGCCCTCGGGGCTCCCCCTCCCCGCTCTGGGGGGCAGCTGCTGACTCACTCCAGAGGCGGCCCCAGCCGGTGACATAGCAGGGGAAGCCCTGGGGCAGCAGCAGGTCTGGGGCAGGCAGGCAGGAGGGCTGGATGGTGTCGCTGAACTCGACCGGCTGCGCCAGCTTCAGCAGGGCGATGTCGTTGCTGCAAGAGCGACAGCAGAGCACCAGCGTTGAGGGGGGGGTACCCCGGGAAGGAGAGGGCGAAGCAAGCCCCCCCTCCCCCCCGGGTCCCCCCCAGCCCTCCAGAGAGACTCACATGATGAAGAGAGAGTTCCACTTCTCGTGGACGATGGCCTTCTCCACCGCCACGGCCACCTCGCCAGCCTCAGCCACCCTCAGGTTCTGCTTGCCCAGCAGGACTCGGTAGGTCCGCTTGGAACTGGAGGGGGGGCAGAGGAAGGGGAGGGAGTGGAGAGGTCAAGAGTCCCGCCCCTTCCCCCCAAAAAAAGACACCCGAGGCGGGGCGGTTTCTTCAGTGCCCTTCAAAAGACAGGGGAGCTTTGGTTCGCTTGCTTCATCCGAGGAGGAGAAAAGCCTTTTTCTCCCCAATTCTGCCCCCCTTCCAGGCCCCCTTGGAGGGGCGCAGGGGGTACCTGATGCAGTGAGCTGCCGTCAGCACCCAGTTGGGGTCAATAAGGGTCCCGCCGCATGTGTGAGCCCAAACTCCTTTCTTGTCATACTGGAGGGAAACCTGAAAGCAAAATTGGGCCAATGGTTACCTTCAAAAAAATCCAAAATTTCACGTCCCTCCAACCTGGATTTTGCCCCTGGAGAAACAGGCGAGAACCCGCGCCCCCTTCACCGAGAGCTCCTCTCCCCGTCCAGTGGCAGGGAGTCCCCCAGGGCAACGCCTGCAATTCCACCTTGTTGGTTCTGCCGTTCCAGACCGCGGCAAGCGAGGACCCCCAAGCGGCTTACCTGCCAGGGCCAGCTATGGGGCCGGACATCTTCGCCTCCAACCACACGCGAAATGTTGGGCACATAGGTGGGGTGGCCACAGCCCCAGGCTGAGGAGAGCAGAGGAAGAAAAGGAGGCCTCTCAGCGATCCATGTCACTCACTAGCACAAGAGCCCTCTGGACAGCTGCCGCCTTCTAGAGCCAGCCCCCCACCCGCAGGGGAACGGACGTGTCCCTGTACTGAGCAGCTCCAGGCGGCCGAGGCTGAGGAGGGGCCGACGGTTCCCGGGGGGGGGGGAGGCAGGGCTGGGGCCCCTCCCCGCAACCACTTACTGTGAGCCACGAGCAGGAGGGCGCAGAGCAGCTGGAACATGGTGGCAGCCGCTGATGTGGGCTCTGGGAAGCACCTCTCCGCATTTATAGCCGGCTCAGCCAACCGGGTGCCATTGCCAGATGCCTCTGACCTTGCCAGGTGATCGCTGGGTCGATAGAGGAGGAGGGCGGCCCCTTGGCAGCCAGGCGGTCATCCTCCGCTCAACGGGGGAGGGTCCCTGCAGCCCTCGGGACGGGTGGAGACCACCTTTGGGGCGCCTGGGAGGGAGAGAGCAGCTCTTCCTGCACCCCCCCAACTGCTGGAGCTGCCCTGGGAAAGCCAACCCAGCCTTTGGCTGCAGCCCCCATGCTGGGGAGCCAGGCTGGGCCAGCTCCTCGGGGGCCCCAAGGGCAGCTCCTGGCCTCGCTGGGTAGGGCGCCCCTGACCCAGCCCCAGAGGCCTCCAGGCATGGGAGAAGCAGCAGCTGCCTCATCCAGCCTGGCACAGCTGGTGGAAACTTGCCCCCGGCAGGCCCTTCCTCACCTGTCCGCTTCCCACGGGGGAAAGAGGAGCCGTGGCCAGCCCCCCCCTGCCCCCGGTGGCTTGTGGGATAAACCACAATCCAACCTTCCTAGTGCCCGGCCAGAAGAACCTCACACGCCTGGCCCAGAACCACGGAAGCCAACGTCTCTGTAGCCCCCCTGGGAATATTTGGGTGGGGGGTTTGATTCACACACCCCCAGCAAGACATTGAAGCACAAACGGCGTCCCAAGTTTGGCCTCGGCTCCTGACATGGGTGGGCACGGCAAGCCTGGGTGCCCAGGAGCGGCCTCCATCCCGAGGAGGCTAGGCAATGCCAGCTGGCCTCCACTTGGGGTGGGGTCTGTATCCAACTGCCCGGCCCAAGCCCAGCCGCTTGGCCGGCTCCGCCCCAGCCCCCTCCTCTGCAGCAGACTGGAGAGGTTGCTCGAGTCAGTAAGCCCAGCCACAAGATCAGCGCAGAGGCATCAACCGCACTTCCTGGTTGAATGCCTCCTGCCCCCCACTTCCCCCCCACCACCACCACAAGATAGAGAATCCGGATACCACAATGAGCTTATGAAATATAGTGTTGTTTTAATTATATTTGGGTAAAAAAAAAGTATACCATACCACTGAAACAGAGCATGTTGTGAGCCCAGAAAGGCCACCCCTCATCCGCAAGTGTTGTGGCAGCCGAGGAATCCCAGGGCCAGCTGCACGCAAACCCTCCCCAGCCCCAGGAAGCAGCCAGCCGGCCCTCAGGGGCCCTCGGGGCACCTTTAGCCCCAAAAACACAAATTCAGCACAAAAGCAAGCAGGCAGGCAGGCAGGCACGGAGAATGAGGGTCTGGGGGATGGGGTGACCCCCCCCGGGGAATAAACCCCCAATAACAGCTGGACCTGAGGCAGATCTGCCTGAATTGTGGCTTGTTGAACAAGCCAGAATCAGAGTGGTTCACACCTCACACCGACTTCTTAACCATAGTCTGGCTCACACACTGCTACAAAGCCCCGTTTCGGTGGGTTGGGTCCTTTTTTTGCCATCCGTGGCAGAGGTGCCCCTAAGGGGACCCAGCTAGGAAAGAGACCCCCTTGTGGGCAAGTAGCCCCCCCGGAGGGCAGCTGCTTCTACACTCCGGGCATCTGGGGCAGTGGAAAAGGAGCTGGGAATGTCTTCCTCGGCTGGGGGTTGCATTAGATGACCTCTAGGTGCCCCTCCCACTTGGGGGATTTTGACACAGTCCCAGCCCTCCCCGACCGGTGGAGCTCCCGGGGCTGGAGGGTTCACCACTCCACATCTGGGGCCCCACCTGCCCCAAATCTACTTTCAGCTCCTCCCCTCTTCTGTTCTTGCCACCCGAACACTTCTACACAACACAATTCCAGGACTTGGAGCTTATTGTCTGGACACACACACATAGAAACACACACACACACGCACACACACACACGCACACGAAGTACAAATTGACCCTGTCCCGCAGACTCAGTGCCAGACTCCAGCTCCGATCGTCCCAGCTGGGGGGACCCCTGTAAACCTTTGGCTGAGTCTAAGCTCCAAACCCCAGGTGGGAAAGGAGAGTGACGGGGGCCCTCAGGGAAAGCGCTTTAAAGGGCCCCCCACCTCCTCCCCACTCGGCCGCCCCCCGGCAGCTGCAGCCCCAGGACCCCTCTGGGCCCAAGCACAAAGGTATACAGCCCAGGCGACGCACACAAAGACGGCAGTGCTGCCCAAGCGGCGGGGTGGGGGTGGGGGGATGCGTGGGGGGGATGGGAAGGGGCCTCACCCCGCCTCTAAGAGCAAGCCACATCCATGCAACCCCGGGGGGAGGACGGAACGATTCACACGCCGCAAATCTGGGACCGGGAGACACCGAGAACCACGAGACCGACAGACGGGAGACGAAAACGCCGCAAAGGAAACACCGAACAGCTGGCTCATGGGAGGGGGTGCAAATCAGGTTCAAATGGGTCTGGGGGCTCCAAGGTCCGCCTTCTTCCCATGGCAGTTCGCCCACCAACCACGCTGGGTCGCCAGCTGACCGGGGCCCCTCCTGTTCCTGCGCCTCTAGCGGCCACCTGACCCGCAAACACCAGCCGGGGGTCCTTGCAGGGAGGGGGGCAGATGGGCGTGGTGGGGAGGGGGCCGCCCGGGGAGGGGGGGCAGCTACTGCCTGAAGGTGGACTGCAGCTCCTTGAAGGCCTCCTTCCGCTGCTTCAGCTCCTCCGCCTGGCGCCGCTTCTCCTCCTGCTCCGCCTTGATCTCCTCCTCGAAGCGGCTGCCCACGTTCATCGCCTGCACCTGCGGGGACAGGCGGCCGAGAAAGGGGGGGGGTCTGGGTTCATCTATGTTCAGCCCCCCCCCCTTTATCGCTTTCATCCGTAACTCAAGGGGCCGACCCTCCCCCCCCTTCCCTCCGCTTTCCCCACCACAATGTCCCTGCGAGGTGGGCCCAGAAACTTTCCAGGCCTGACTGCGCAAGAGAACACCCCCCCCCCGAGGCTGCCCTCTCTCCTCCCTGCTTACTTTGGCCTCGAAGAAGCTCTTGGCCCCCTTGACGCCCTGGGTGGAGACGTCGATCTCCGAGAGGCAGGCCAGGGCGTGCAGCCCGCTGTCTTCCTCCAGCTCCCCAGCAGCCGCTTTGCGGAAGATGAGGAGAAACTGCAGGGGGGGGGGGGGGGGGGGCGGGGTGGGAACCAGGCAGGGGCTTCGCCCCGGTCCCGCCCCCGCCCTTGTTCAAGGGGGGGGGGGGGGGGGGGGGGGGCACACACACGGCACTCTCACCTCCCGGAAGCTGAGCTTGCTGTCCACGTCTTCGTCCACTTCCTTGATCATGTCCTTCAGGCCCAGGTGTGTCTGGGGAGCCCCCAGTTTCTCCATCATCAGTTTCAGCTCCATCAGGTCGATGAAGCCGTCTTTGCCCGCGTCGTACCTGGGCACGGGATCCGGAGCAGAGAGCCCCTTAGCCCACTCCCCCCCCCGGCCCTCAACAGATTCCTCGCCCAGCTGATCCCCCCACGGAGATCCCTTGGGGTGGGTTTCCTCCCCCCCACCCCTTTATTTCTGGATATAGGATGCGGGCCTCGTTCGCCCTGCTGCTTGGTGGCATTGGGGCCCAAAGGAGGCTGGGTGGCTTTTCCTCCCCAAGAACCGCCCGGCTGACACCCAGCTGGTTCAGGAGCCCACAGCTGGCAGGAGACATTCCTGCACGCCCCTCGTCCCCCTCCCCGCCCTTCTCCTGGCAGGACTTCCTTCAGCGATTCTCTGGCTGGACTGCTGTGCTGGCCGGCCGGGGGCTCTAGGCGGGGGGGGGGCAGGGGGCATGGTCAGCAGTTTGCTTCCTGCCCCAAAGGAGCAGAGCAGCAGCAGATGCCCACAGGCGCAGCCACAAGGACCGGCTAGAGAGAGGCAACCTGAGAGACACCCCCCACCCCCAACCCCACGCTCTCTGGGCCCGGTGGTTTCCTTGCAGGTGTTACCTGGCCCAAACTCGGTAACGTTGCCTCTGGCACTGAGGGGGCTACAAAAGGTCTGCAAGGAAGCCTCCCGGCTCAGAGAGCCCCAAGGAGCCCTGGGCTACAAGGGTTGCCCTTTGTCCCAAGGCTTAGTGCGGGGCGAGAGACAGGAAATAAAAGGAAGGAAGGAAACAATCCACAGATTATTACAGCTTGGCAATGTTGGCCGGGCTTCCCTTCTGCTCCCCCCTCACCTGCGCACTGGGGCCTGTCCTGGTGTGATCTGCCGCCATTTAGTTCAGAACTGGGCAGGCATGTCACTGGTCAGATCCAGGGGGGCTTCGGGGTTCCCAGGTGATCTGGGAGGGAGGGCTTTTCAGCAACCAGGGAGCCAGGAAAGGGGGTGGGCTGCTAACCAGGCACAGCTCTGCTCTTGGGTGTCCTTCCACCAGAGGCGGGGGGCTCCCAGAGCTGCGATGCACAAGGAGCCGGTTAAGCAGCTTCTGTGCAAACTTCCTGCTCGCAGGGGTGCCAACCAGCTCCTTCCACCCCCACCCCGAAGCTGGGCTCCCAGGTGGCAGAGCTGCTTGGCTGAGTGAAGAAGGTCCCGGGCATGACTCCCCACCCCCCAGGGAGCCCTGTCCAGGGTGCTAAGCAGGAGCCGTCTGGCAGCAGCCTGATTTGCAAGAGTACCCGATGGAACTCCCTGCCACAAGGGACCCACCTTCCCACAAACCCAGGACTGCCTGCAGACAGAAGAAACCAGGCAGGAGAGGAACTGCCCAGGCTGCCCACTTTCCTCTGTGCCCTCCTCAATCCCCCCCCCCCCAGCTGCAGGGGGAAGAAGCGGGGGGGGGGGAGAGAATGGCCGGCTGAGCCGATACCCGGGAATAATAATTGCCACCAATCAAGCCTGACCTCGGGGATGGGAGGCCACCAGGCGATCGGGGCATCAGCCTGCCAGTGATTTCAGCTGCAGCTGCATTTCTTAATGTGTTTGTCTGCTTTATTCTATGTCCGCAGCCGCCTGGTGTCTCAAGTGAGGGCTTCTTCAGCTGGACCCAGGCTGAGTTTCTCCCCACGTTGTCTCTGCCGGACAAGTCAGAGCCCGCAGCAGCCCCTTCGGACACCTGGTGGCCCCCCTTTTCCCCACTCAGGGAGCTGATGCAACGGTTTGTGGGACCCTGCACGACGAGCCCTGCGCTTTGCCAGAAACGGAGACCCTCCCTGGCCAGCCAGATAATTTCCCCCCCCCCCCCTCCCACTGCCCCAGCCCAGCAACTACAGGTCAGGCAGCCTGGAAGAAAGGACCACCCGCAAAGCTCCAGTATTCAGGAAGACTATCCCTCAAGAGCGAGGCTCCGCTAAGCGTCAGAGTCCTTAGCCTAAATGTCTTGGCAAATCTGCCCATAAAACCACCACCACCACCAGCAGCAGCAGCAGCAGCAGCAGCCACCCAAGTCCCGGGCAGCCTTGAATGAAATATTTCCCCCTGGCGCAACCTGCCCTCCTTCCTCTGCTTGCCAGCCCAAGCAGAGGGCGGCGGGGTGGGGGCACCCCAAATCCCTCCTACCGAGCAGATCGCAGGCTGAAGTACCAGCCCGCCCCCGCCTTTGCAAACGATGCCCTGCCGAAACCTGCGGGGGGGAAAGCCGGGTTTCCGGAGCCGCGGTTCTCTCCTTTGCCGCCCCGCCACCCCTGGCCGGGGAACTCTGCACGTGCCCAGCGGGCGCTTTCCCCGGGATGCCAGCAGGGAGGCCTGCCTGGCGCCTGCCCGCCGCCCCCCCACCTCTCTCTGCGTCGCTCCGGTTCTGAAGCCCGGCTTCCCGCTCCCCCCGCCGCCGGGCGCAAGAGAAGCGGGGGGGGGGCGAGGGGCTTCCTCTGCAGCCCCCCGCCCCCCCCTACTCACTGCCGGAAGAGCCGCTCCATGTCCTTGATCTGCCGGCGGGAGAACTCGCGGAACTCGCCGTAGGGGCTGAAGACGCGGTGGGCGCCGGCCGGCGAGAGCTGCCCGGCCGGGGGGGCTCGGGGCCCCGGCGACCCCTCCGCCTCGCCCTCCTCCTCCTCCGCCGCCTCGGGCCCCCCCTCCACGCGCAGGCGGCGGCTCAGCTTGCCGGCCAGCTCCTCCGTGGCCATCCTGGCGGCGGCGGCGGCAGCAGCGGCGGCGGCAGCAGCGCAGGCAGCCGGGGCGCCTCCCCTCCGCCGGCCAGCCGAGCCCGGCTCCGCCCCGACGGCCACGGGAACAGGGGAAGGGGGCGCGGCGGGCAGCGGCCCCCCAGGCGCCGAATCGCCGCTCCCATCATCTCGCGCCCCAGCCGGCCGGGGGGGCTGCTGGGAGTCGTAGTTCGCGCCGGCCGCCTCCGCGCTCCCCCGGCCGCCTCCGCGCTCCCCCGCCCGCCCTGCTCCGAGAACTACCGCTCCCATCATCCTGGCCCCGGGGAGGAGGAAGCAGCCAGGCCAATGGGGCCAGTGGCCCCGCTCGATGCCCAGCTGGGGAGGGGGGCTCGCGGGCGGAGGGCAGGGACCACAAAGACGGCCGTTGCTGGCTTGGAGGGAAGGACGCACCAAGGAGGCGGGGGGGAAAGGCACCCCAAGAAGAGGAGGCCGAAAAACGGCAGCCTCCCTCCGAGGCCCCCCTGCGCCAGCCTTCGGGGGATGGTGGTTCCCCGAGAGAGACCGGGCCACCTTTGCCGGGAGGGCCCGGGGCCTGGGCCGCCCTTTCAGCCGCAGAGACGCTGCAGGGCCAGGTGCCAATGGCCGCCCCTCCTTCCCCGAAGGGCTCCAGGAGACCCCACCGTTGCCCAACGGAGCTGCAGAGGAAGGACGGGGGGGGGCACAGAGGGACCCCGGAGACACACCTGCCCGCTTTCCTGCCGGCCTCCGTGTGTCCCAACACAGGCAGCCCGACACACCGCACCTGCCGGGCCCTTCAACCAGAGCACAAAGAAAGCGGGTCCGGGGTGGGGGGGGGACGGGTAGGGGGTTGAAAGGAGAACTTGGGCAGGGATGCAAACCTGGCCCTCATCCCTTTCCCCAGAGTCAGGGCGACCCCCCACTCCCCCGTCCCCTGTGCACAGAGCATCTTTCTCTCGCCTCAAAGACATTCAAGGGTTGCCACTTCAGTGTTTTCAAATTTAAATAAAAAGGCCGATCACCTAGTCTGTAACCCGAGGGTGGGGGGGGGGGAGACACGTGATGATTCCCTTCGGTCCCCCTTGGATTTTCCCTCCCCAGCGAGGCGGCCCTGGGTCCCAGCATCCTCCAGGCCCACAGAGCGAGGCTGCAGGTAACTGGCAGGTGCTTGATCAAGGAGAGGCAAAAGAGGGCAGAAGGCAGGCCTTCCTCCTCCCCCCCCTCCTCCTCCTCCTCCCCTGGGGACCCTTGTGCTTGTTCCGTCTCTCCCAGAGGAGCATCGCCCTGCCTGGGCCTCTCTCCAGAGGGAGGAAGAGGAGGTGGGCAGCGGGGGGGGGAGGGTGGATGCCACCCTAGCCTCTGGGTAGCTCCCGGGCATTTGGGGATGGGGTCCTCTCTCTATGGCCCCCCGCCTTTCCGCTCTGCTTACAGCCAAGGGAAGGCCTGGGGGAGGGGACGGCTGGGAGGCTCTCATAGGAAAAGTCCCCCCCTCCTCCCCGCCCAGGCAAGGCCAGGGGCTTCTTGGGGAGAAATCAATGCAATTATCCCATGGGGGGGGGGGGCTTCCCACACAGACATCAGCGCCCGATTCCCCAGCAATCCCGTCAAGCTTAGATCTGCACCCACACAGATCCCGAGACAGATGGAGGCGACAGGCAGGGCGGCTGGGCTTTCATAGAACAGGCACAGTCCAGATCGGGATCCTGGCTGCCCCCCATCCTCCGGTCTGGATTGGGGGAGGGGGGTGGGCAGGGAGAAGGGCCGAGCAGAGGCAGGGGCCGTGCCCTCCACCACCCAGTGGGGTGCCAGGCAAGAAGAGGGTGCCCCCCGTCTCCAGCAAAGGAGTTCGCGGGGGGGGGGGGGGGGGGGAAGGGGGGCCCCCCCCCGGGGGGGGGAGGGGGCCGGGGGGGGGGGGGGGGGGGAGGAATCTCCTGGCTTTGCCTTCAGAGGTTGTGGGCGCTCCATCCCTGGAGGCTCTTAAGGGGAGACTGGACAGCCACTTGTCCAGAGTGGCATAGAGTCTCCTTGCTTGGGGAAGGGGTTGGACTAGAAGACCTCCAAGGTCCCTTCCAACTCTGTGATTCTGTTCATCCCTGCTGTTCATTGGGTGCTTGTTTTTTTAAAAAAAACTTAATGTTTTTTTAACTTACCTTTTTAAACTTTTCATGATTTCTATACAATCTCACATGGTTTTTTTTAGAGGCTAAAGGAGAAAAAATCTTATACTTGAAAACATCCTTATTAACGGGCAGTCAGAGAAATGCATTGCGTAATTTTGCGGGGGGGGGGGCGTCTTTTAAGAGTGCCCCTCCCCGCTTTGGGGGAAAAAAAACCCCATGGCAGATTAAAATTCCCTTTTCTTATTCTTTGGGTAGCAGCCTTCTTTGTGCCTGCAAACACAGGTTGTTTGGCGAGTTCCTAATTCCACTGATCATGTCACTCCAGAACAAGAATTAATTCAAGTCACCCATGGAATAAATAAAGTTTGGTCATGTGACCCCACTCTTGACAGCAGGCTTTCTCTGAGCAGCCTGGGAACAATGCGTGGGGGGGGGGGATGGAGTCCGGCCCACTTGGGGCGGCCTGAACCCACCCTGAGGCCTCTCTTCACGCGCTCCGAGACCCCACATGGTCGCCCTCTCGGAAGCCCCCAGGCAAAACAGGCCCTGGAACCAAGGAAAGAGGGGCGGGGGGGAAGGGGGGGGGGAAATACCGCAGGCACTCGTGGAAAATGCCACTTTGTAGGAAAGCTTCCTCATCCATTTCCAATAAAATCCCTTACAAAGGGCATCACCCAGCAAATCTATGGAAATGCTCTGGTTACGTTTCGTATGTTCTAGGAGACAGTAAGGTAGCTGTCGTTTATTACGCACAGCTACCAAAAGTGTCCCAGGAAACTCTTAAGAAAATCCAAAGCTTGTTTACAATAAATCCACATTGATTCTTCTTCCTGGGTCATTTCCTATTTCAATGTTAATAGTTTTATTGTTTAGCCTCAATGTCTCCTAAGCGCATTTGGTTGTTGTCAGTGAAACTGGAAAATAAGTGGGGGGGAAACCCCCACTTCTCTTACCTTTGGAAGCTGCCTGCCACATTCGGGACGGAAAACACCGGCCGACATGCCCAGGCCAAGAACAGCCTTTTTAGCCACCGATCCCGAGATCTTTGTCTGCACCTGCGGGAAAATCTCCTTGAGGGGAAAAGCTAAGAAAACAACGCCTGGCTGAGATTTTTTTAAGGTGAATGGTGAATGGTGTAGAAAGAGAAGAGGGAGGAGGAAGGCAGGAAAGGGGAAGGGAAAAAAGGATCAATTCCATGACAAATCTCACAACAGGAGCCGTTTCCTTTTTCCTTTTCTTTTACTTAAAGATACTTGACGGGGGCTTGCATCCTGCCCCCAAAGGAACATCCGGGGTCTTTAACGGAAGACGTTACTGGTCTCTTTCCCGCCGAGTCTCACCCGAGAGGCCTGCGCGGAGCCTCTCCAGAAACCGCGTCGTTGTGGGCAGCACGACAGCCTGCATCCCAAACGCCCACGTGGAAGCGCAAGAGCCACACAGTGCAACCGGAAAGGGGGGAAGTTTGTCACCCTTTGAAAAAGGGCCCACTTCACTTCAGCATTCTTTCGTGGGAGAGGCAGAGCGGTGCTGCCAGTCACGGCCCGCTTTCCAGGCAGGAGGCAGCGCTTGGGGCAAAGGCGCCAGGCAGGATTTCCAGTGGTTCCTCCTCTGCCTGGCCGGATGGAGACTCGGGAGAACTGCCCTTTCTGCCCAGATCACCTTTGCCTTGAGGGTTGCAGAGGGCGGCAGGGCCTGGGTGGGCAGGCGGTGGGCTTCGGGCAGCAGACTGGCCCCCCCTTCCCAGCCTCAGGCCTTTCCAGAGGGACCCACAGATGGGCGCAGGGGGCCAACAGCCGTTCGCGCCAGGAGGAGAGTCTCGGAAGGGCGGACAGGCCCTCCGGGGGAGGCTGGGACTGGCTGTGCAGCAGGCGGAGCCTCCCTTTCCCTGGGCTGCCCACCCCCCCACTCCCCTCTCCCTGGCAGCAGGCACAATGCCCCCCCCCACATCCCCTCCTGCCACGGGCCTCAAGTCTGCTTGGGACGCTCCCGCTCCGCTGGCCGGTTTGCTTGGGGATCCACGTCTGAGCAGAGCTCCTCGGCCACCCTGCCCCTCCCGGGTGGCAGCTTTCACCCCACTTTAGAAACAAGAGCGCCCCCTCCCCACCCCCACCCCCCAAGCCAGCAGGTGAGGGTTTGGCAAACCTCGGTTCATCCTGAGAAGCCAAACTTAGCAAGGGAGACGTTGCTTCGGCCTGGGAGTCATAAAACCCTCCCCCCGGGAAAACCTCCCGCTCGGGTCTCTGTGAAATGCCATCGCCTGCCCCCAACCCACGTTGCCCCCAAAGCCCCCAGAGAACAGCTCCCAAGTCCCACTGGCTTGCTGTGGATTAGGGTCCCGCCCCGCCCCCCCCAGTGGAAAAGAGCCCCTCCCCGGCTTGCCCCAAAGACGCCAGCTGAGGCGGATGGCAGGGCGGCAGAGCCTTTATCCTGGGCACCTCCGGCGGTGCTTCTCTCGCAGCGGAGGCGTAGACAGAGGGGCCACCGGCTGCCTGGACGAGGCGCCTGCGCAGTTACAAAACAGGTCATCTCCTATTTACAGCGGCAGGGCCGTTCCTGCCCCACAGCGCTCCGGAAAGGGGGTCGCTTATGCCCAGCCGCTGCAAGGCACTCGGGGTCTGCAGGCCTCCCTCGGCCCCTCGGCTGCCTTCGGACTCTCGGAGAGCGGCTTCCTTGCGGCTGGCGTCTACAAAAGGCAGGGAGGGGAGGCGTGAGGAGGCGCAGGCATTCTGACCAGCGACAAGGTGGCATCAGCAACCGCTGGTTCCCGCGTCCTGCTCGAGGGTTGGAGGGAGTCTCGCTGCCCGCTGGCCCTGCAGGCGCCCTCCCTCTGCCCTCTCCCCAGGCCTGAGCAGGGAGGTGTCCTTCCTGGGGGGCGGGGGGGGGGAGGTGGCTTCTGAAGTCCCTGACGATCCAAACCAAAGGGCCTGCCTTCCCCCCGCCCTGAGCTGGGGCTCGAGGTCTGCACAGCGCCTGTCCTGGGGCCCAGGGGAGCGAAACCCCCGGCCCAAGACCCCCGGAGGCTCCGCTCAGAGGCTTTCGGAAGCTGCCTTTGGCTCCCACTGACTCCTGGGACTGGATGGGGGCCCTCCTTCAGCCTCCACTTTTGGGTGGGGAGCTGGGGGAGGGCCACCTGCAGGCACCCTCTACCCCTGCCCCCCGGCCCCCCCACCTGGCCACTCAGACCCCGAGATTCATCCCGCAATGGCTGAGACCCTTCAGGTTTGATGCCCACTGCGCCTCCTCGGCCGAGTCCTTCCCGGGGGAGACTGGCACGACACTGGCACGCAGCCCCAGTCGGACGCCAGAGGCCTGGTTGACGGTCTCCTCCGCCGGTCCCGGGCAGCCCCTACCTTGGGCTTCTTGAGGGCCTTGTTCAGCCTCTTCTCCTTGCTCAGCTGCAGCTGCGTCCTCTCCAGTGCCTCCTTCAGCAGCGCCTTCTCCTCTGCGTCCCTGTACACCTGGTCAGCCAGCTTGGCCACCTCCGACCGGCAGGCCTGCAGGCTGGGCTTGTTGCTCCTGTGTGGGGCCGGGGGGTAGGCACTCTGAGCTCCTGGCCAGAGAATCGGCCGTATTGGGGGGAGGACCCGCCCCCGCCTTCCCCCAAGCTCCGTGCTCCTGGGCCCTGCTAGCTGAGGGCTCCTCCTCCTCCTCCTCCTCCTCCTCCCAGGTACCTGAAGGGCCCGGCGTCCCCCTCGTACTCCCTCAGCAGGGACTCCTTCCTCTGCAGGCGGCTCTTCAGCTTGCTGATCCTGTCCAGCAGCAGCTCCAGGTTCTTCTGGCGCAGCAGGCTCACCTTCTCCCGCTCGGCCTGGGACAGGTGCTTGAGAGTCCGCAAGCCCATCAGCTGCTCCACATCCATCAGGCTTGAGAGGCCCCGGACAAGGCTGAGGTACTGGGGAGGGGGGGTGGGCAGGGGCGAGGGAAGGGAAGTGAGGGGGGGGGGCGAGGTGAGTCCTCTGACTTGAGGCCTGAGGACAATGGGAAGGCCCACGCCGGCAGCCTCCCCCACTTCCCTACCAGGTTCTCGCTGAGGTCCAGCGCATCAGCCATCTCCAGCCTGGCGGTCCTCTCAGTGGCCACGTTGAGGTCGATGCCGGAGGGCCCAGCTGGAGGCTCCGAGGAAGGAAAGACAGCGAGAGCTCCTGAGGCAGGGCCCGCGGGCACCTCCGCCCTGCCCACCTGTTAAAGGGGCCGAGCCCCAGGACGCCCCCGAGGGCTCGGATTACCTGGTGGGCATCCATTGCCACCTTCAACACCATCGTCGCGGGGCCCTTTTCCCTCGCCTGCTCTGGCTTCTCTGCCGGCCCTTTCCGCACAACCAGAAGCGGCTGGGAGTTATTTGTGTCTACAGAAGGGAAGAGGGGCCCACGTTCAAGGCAAGGCAAGGCTCTGGGTGGAGGGGAGAGCAGGCCGAGGCCGTGTCTGAACAGGACGGCACTTCGGGGGTCAGGGCCGGCACCTCCCGAGCCCTCGAATTCTTCGCTTTTGGGAAAGAGGGATCCAGGGAAGCTCAAGGCAGGACCCCGGACGCCGGAGGCCAAGCAAGCCACCAAGAGCAAGGGGCTTCCCCTGGAGGGAGGGTCCCGCACCCTTGCACTGTTCTTGGGGGACCCCTGAAAGCACTCAGTGAGAAGATGCCCCCCCCCCCCCCCAAAAGCAGACTCCGTACTGCAATAGTTGATGGGGACAAGGAGAAAAGCCGTTGATCGTTTAGACCTTGTCTCCAAACGAGGCCATTTTAAGACTAAGCTGGCTGAGGAATTCTGGGAGTTGAAGTCTTCAAAGTTGCAGAGACCCCGCTTAGGCCTACGGCAGCTCCGGCCTGCCTGTCTTCTGGCATGCCATCCTGGGCGCTCCCCACCCCAAAGAAGCCCTTGGACATATCTCAAAACGGGGGAGCACCAGCCAAGCCCCTGACTGACCCGTGTCCAGTTTCCGGAGCTTCTTGCGCAGCTCAGCCAGGGCCTCCTTCTGCCGATGGATGACCTCCTCGTGGCGAGCGCCTTTGCACCTGGCTCCCAGGTCAGCCAGGCACAAGAGCGGGGGCTCCTGGAAGCACAGAGGCGACCCCCCCGCCCCCAAACTCAGCATGCCCTGTCCGAGCCAGAAGGCCCGAGGGGGTGTGGGGTGCTTCCTCGGGCAAGCTGGCTGTGGGATTGGGGCCATGGGGCTCCTGCAGCTGCGTCAGGCCACAAGAAGCCCTCCGGCCCTTGGGCCAGTTTTTTGTTTCCTGGGGCTGAAAAAACGCTTCTGTGATAAGCCCCCCCCCCCCCAAACCACCCACTGTGAAGGGAGAGGAGTGGTGCCTGGGTCCTCCGAGCATTGAGGGTGGGGGTGGGGGTGGGGTGGCAGCCAGAAGGAGCAGCCACCTGTTGCCGTTCCCTCCCACGAGCTGCCTCGCCAGCCCCTCGTCAGCAATTAGAGCAACAATTAGCAATGACAAAACTTGAGGCTCGCACAAAGGTGTGATGAAAACATTGGCTGCTTATGGAGAACTCCACGCAAGGTTCCCCCCGTCCCCCCACAAGGACTCCCGTGGTCCCCTCCCCTCTTGCCTTTGCAGCAGGGGGGGCCTGGTCCTGCAGGGCCCCCGTGGTCTGCACGCCCTTGTGCTGCACAACCTTGGCCGGCTCCACGGCCTTCGCCTCCTGCGCCTCCGCCAGCAGCTCCTTCACCTTCTCTCTGGCCTTCCTGCAGCGGCGGCAGGCATGATGGAAGCGGAGGAGAGACCCTCCCAGGGCCCCTTCCCCCTGCAACTCCCGTTTCGGTCATGGGACTGCGGGGAGGCTGCAGGGGTCGTAAGCGTGAAAAACGCTCCCAAGCCCCTTTTTTCAGTGTGGTGGTAACTTCAAACGGCCCACTAAACGAACCGCTGTCGAGCTCAACCCGCATGGGAGAGAACCCACCTGCAGCCCCAAAGCACAGGGGGGCGGGGGGAGGCCCCCTCACCTTAACTGCTCGGTGGTGGCTCGGAGGTCGGTCTCCCTCTGGGCCAGCGTCCTGGAGGCCTCCGACAGCTCCTCCCGCAGGAGGCCGAGTTCTCGGGCCTGGCTCTGCACGAGGCTCCGCTTCTCCTCCAGCTCCGCTTTCTGCTTTTCACTCAGCTCCCCTGCAGAGGGGAAATGCCGGGGGGGGGGGGCTCCCTTAACCCCCCGGGCCCTGGGCCCCCCCCCCCCCCCGCGGCCCTGGGGGAGCGGGGGGGGGGCCCCCCCCCCCCCCCCCCCCCCCTGCGCCCGGCCCCCCCCCCCCCCCCCCGGGCTGCTCTGAACCCTGGAGAGTAGCTGGCCCTACTGGGGCCAGTGTTTCCCTTAGAGAGAGGGATGGATCCCCTCCCGTTTCTACCTGGAAGAGGAGAACCTTTGACTTTAGGCTTTGGAGGCAAGCCTGGTGGCTGCTGCTGCTGCGAGAGAGGCACAGGGAAAGGGCCTGGCCACTACGTCCCTTCCTTTCCTCTCCTTTGCGCCCTCCCTCCCTCCCTCCGCTTTCTAACTTTCTGCTTCTTTCGGTGTTTTGGTCTCAACATCATAAACTTTAATAAAAATTCAAGCACAAAAAGGCAGCGGCCGGGTGGGAGACATTAAGAATCTGTGTCCGAAGCGGCACACGTGTCACAAACCGATCACGTCGGACATCGTGGCTCTGGCCTGGCAAAGCTCCCTCTTGAGCTCCGCGACGACCGCCTGGTTGGCCTGGATCTCCTGCTTGGCAGCTGCCAGCTCCTCCCTGGAGAGCCCGGGAACAAAGGCCCCGGGGGGCGGGGGGGGGGAGAGACAAGAGGGTCAGTTTTAGTGGCGTGGTGGGAGAGGCCCAGGCTTCCTCCATTACGGGAAGCCCCCTCCCTTCCGCCAGTGGTGGGTCGGCCACTGCCGGAACGGGCTGGGAAGGACCTTTCCCCACTTCAGCTGCCCAAACTGAGAGCAGAAACACCCCCGGGGTCTGGGTTCCCTCCCCCGCCAGGGAGCGAAGGCCCGACTTACTTCAGGAAAGCGTGAAACTCGTCCATGATGCACAGCCCGGGGGAGGCAGGCAAGGGAGCCTTGCACGGCTCCTTCTTCGTTCCTGGAGGGGGGGAAAGTTGTGGAAGATGCGGGAAGCAGTCTGGACTGTGGCACGTTTGTGAGAAAAACCAGTTTGGTTTTCCCATGAGGGCAAGCCCAAAACTCTGGGAAGGGTCTTCATTTAAACCACGGTTTACTCCGCAGAAGGAGACTAGCGCTAGCCAAGGAGAAGAATTTCCCTTCCCAAACATTCCTGCGTCCACTGAGGGTCTTTTTGGAATGATTTTCAAATTCCCCGGACAGTTTCAAACTCTGACCCATCGCAGCTGGAAAGCGGAGGGCTACAAGGGTGGGGCTGCGGAGGGGTGAACCACCAGCCCCCAAAGCAGCCTCTGGATGTGCTCCCCCCACTGGAGAGAACCCAGGGCCGGCTCATTTACATAGCCCCACCCATTAAGCACCTGGCCCAGCAAGGCTGGCCTGGAACGGAACGACCTGAGCAAGGCTTCCTTCCCTCTGGGTGCAAAAGGAGAGGCTGCTGCACTGGGTCACCTAGAGGCAGGCAGGGTTCCTTTTCGCAGCGATTCCCCTGGAGGAACCCTGAGGGGAAACACCGCCGCTTCCCCGTCAAGTCCAAGGCCACCTTCGTCTGGAGCGAAGCAACCTCCCTCCTTCCCTCCCTCCGTCTCTCTAGCTGTCTGTCTGGGGAAGGCAGATTTGGGGCCTTTCGATCCAGGCCCTGCCCCCCGTGCGTCAAGGTGCTCGGCCACCCGCCTGCTTTGGCTGCCCACGTTTCCCTTGGGGCTGTTCGGCAGCGTCCTCAAGGGAGACGCACCGCCCCTCCTCCCGCCAAGGAGGACCCTGGGGCGCCTGGTGAGACCGGGCTCTGCCCTGACCTCTTGGCTGGGCAGCGCCTTCCTCCTCCGCCTGCTGGGCAGCGCTGGGCAGCCTCTTCTCCAGCTCCACGATGGTCCTGGCGTGCTGCTTGACCTGCTCCTGGTACTCCGAGATCTCCCGCTGGTGCTTCTGCCTCAGCGACTCGGCCTCAGCCTCCAGGCCCTGCAGCCGCCTCTCCCAGACCGACAGCTTCTCTTCCGCCATCGCCTGGCAGAGGGAAGAGGCAGAGGGGCGCCGCTGGGCGTGGCCTGCCCTCCCTCCGAAGCTGCCCCGGAGAAGGCCGCCCCCGCCCCCCCAATTACCTTTCCCCTCTTCGCATCTTCCAGAGACCCCAGACTCTCCTCCACCCTGGCGTTTAATGTCCTCTCCAGGTCCCTTCTCCCTTCCATGGCCTACAAGGCAGGCAGGGGAAAGACAGGTGAATGGGGGGGGGGGGCATGCTGCCCTTTTGGCCGGCCGGCCAAGGTTTGAAGAATGGCCACAGGATACCCAAGACGGGAAGGGCAGGTCGTGGAGGTCCAGCCAAGGAAAAGGTCGTGCAGCCATTTGCCCCGTGCTGGTGGTCGGCAGCTGCCTTTGGCCACCTCAGGGCCCTGCAGGGCAGCCGCAAGGAAGGCAGGCACTGACGGCCGCCGAGGAAGGAACTGCGCCTGGAGGACTGATGGGAACAACGCCCCCCCGACCGACACACACACACACACACACACACACACACACACACACACACACACACTGTCTGCAAGAGGAAGGCAGGGCAGGCAGCCCTCGGCTTACAGCAGTTCGTCAGAAGTTGCACTTACACTGTTCAAAGTTACAACAGCAGTGAAAAGAGTAGAGTTTTCCACACTTATGACCGCTGTGTGACAGTGTCTTTAATTTAACAACTGCAGTAATCCACTTAACAAATGTGGCAAGAAAGGTCATAAAATGGGACAAAACTCACAAATTTCTCATTTAGCAACATAAATTTGGGGCTCAATTGTGGTCGTAAGCCGAGGACTCCCTGTATTCTTCCCTGCCTGAGTGCTGCCTGAGAAAACACGTATTTGCTCAGATTCCCCGCACAGCCTGGGTTACTTTTGGTCCCAGGTCACAGCCCCCCGGAACCTGGAGAAGCTCCCCCCCCCCCGCAGCCTCCTCCGTCTCCGTGCCATCCTCCGCCAGCGGTGGGAGGGCGTGAAGAGGGCTGCGCTGGCACCCACCGCGGAGAGCTCCTTCACTTCCGCTTGCAACAGGCGGCCCCTTGTCCTCTCCTCTTCCAGGGCTGCTTTCAGCTCAGCTCCTTCCAGGGTGGCCCTCCTCTCCAGGATCTGGGGGAAAGGGTGCGTGCCTGAAAGGAGGGCTGGGGGCTGGCAGGAGGGCCCCCCCAGACCCACGGCTCCGTCCTGACAGGGACCGGGCCCTTCAAGGCAGCCCCCCCTCGGCTCACCTCCTTCTGCTGCTTCTCCTCCTCCCGGATCTCTCTCTCTCGGGCCTGGAACGCTCCCTCCAGCTGCTCCCTCAGCGCCCTCAGCTCCTCCCGCAGGGTCGAGTGCTGGGACTCCTCTGCCCTCCGCAGCTGATTCTACGGGGGGGGGGGGGGGGGGGGCGGGCCCCCCCCGGGGGGCGGAGGGGGGGGGGGGGGGGGGGGGGGCATTCAGTGGCCATCCTGAGACTGGACCCTCTGGGCCTAGGGGGAGGCCTGAGCCAGCAGGGGCCATGCTGCCCACCCCGTCTGGCTCTCCCCTCGGGGGCCCAGCTCCGACCCGGCCCGCCTGCCGCTGCTTGGGTGCCCTCTCAGCTGGGCAGCTCAGCCGAAGGGAGGGGAGACGGACCTGTGTCGCCAGCTGGGGCATCCATGCCCATGTTCCGGAGCAGCGATTCCAGCGCTTCCACCCAGCCCAGCACACTGTAGAGGATGCGGGCCAGGGAGGCTTGGATTCCTGACACCGGGGGGGCCAGGGGGGCCAGGCTCTGCAGCTGGCTGATGGCCCCCTTCAGGCTCTTGGCAGAGAAAGAGGCCTCCAGGAGCCCCTGGGGCAGAGAAAGGGGGGCGGGGGGAGAGAGGCTGCCTGAATGGGCAGGGCGGGAAGCAGCCCCGTCCCTCTTGGGGTCGGGGGGGGGGGGATTCCGGGGAGGAGACGCCTCCCCACCCCCAGGCCAAGGGAGAGTTTCCACTCTGCAGCCAGCCAGGGTCAGCTCTGCCCCGGGGTGGCGGGAGAGGGCCAAACTCCCGCTTCCTGCCAAGGGCAGAAAGGAGACTCCGCGCTGGACAGACTAAAGTCCCCCCAGGCTCATCAGGGCAGGTCCTCCCTGCGGGTAGGGTGGGGGCAGACCTGGAATCCATCAAGCAACTTCTTCAGCAGGGCCAGGTTGGATGAGAGCTTCTCCATCTCCAGGGCCTTGATCTGCGCTTCCTTCTGCAGCTCGGCCTCCTTCTGCTCAGAGCCCTGCTGGCGCTCCTGCGCCTGAAGGATTTCCTCAATGATCTGATATTGGGGGTGGGTGGGGGGAAGGAAAGTGGGAGACCGAAAGAGGCGCCTCCGATCCTGCTTACAGGCAGTGTTAGGTTTAACTGAACAAGGATACCCGCCCCCCGCCGCCCCGCCCTCCACGAAAAGGGGAGCCTGTTACCTGCTCATTGGTTAGAGCTTTCTCGGGAAGGTCAGGAAAGAGGGCCCTCACCACCTGGTTCCGGAAACGCTGCGCCTGGGAGCAGCAGAGTTAAATGGCTGGAGGAAGCGCCCCCTCCCCTGCGCCTCAGGTCAGCTCGGAGCCCAAAGAAGGAAGACCCAAGGGAGGAGGGGGAATACGAGGCAGGCAGGTGGGCGAGGGGCTCCCTGGGGAAGACCCCCGTGGGTGGGGGAGGGCCGGGAGGGCACCTGGCGTACCTGAGCGGCTGCCTGCTCCACCTCCGAGCGCAGGAGACGCTCTCGGCGGCCCAGCTCCTGCACCTGCTGTGCCCGCCTCTCTGCCTCTTGCTTCAGCTCCCCTTCGGCCTGAGACACGGGGGGGTGGGAAGAGTGAGGCCACGCAGGGCAGGCGCTCAGTTCTGGTCAGCGCCTCCAAGGGCAGAGCCGCCCTGCCCACTCACCCTGGTGGCTTCGGCCAGCCTCCGGGTCAAGGCCTCCTGCTCTGCGCAGCGTTTCTTCACCTCCTCCTTGGACTGGCCGGCCTGCAGCTCCAGCTCCGTGATCCGCTGCAAAGGCACCAGGAGAGGGGGGGGTCAGGGGCCGGGCACCCCACTGGCCCTGACGACCGAGGGACCCGGTTAGTGCGTAAGAAAGGCAGGGGGAGCCTTCCTGGGCAAGAGCCTAGGAGGCTCCAGCAGCCCAAATCAACGGTTTCCACCTTTGTGCGGATAAAAATAAAGTAGCGGAGGGAGGCCAGTTGTGGTTGAGACCCGATTTCTGCTTCCGTGATAAGGGCCAGAGGGCTGAGGACAAGACGACGGCTCCAGTGCGCAAGGAGGGGGCCGGCCTTTTTAAGCGGGGGAAGAAGCCCTGGGAGAAGCAGCCGGGTGTCCGAGTGAGCCCAGCTGCCCTGGGCTGGAGGAGAAAAGGACTCTGACCAGGGCGTCCGCTGGGGGAGGGATGGGGCTCTCTTCTCTGGGGTGGGGGGGCTTCTGAAGAGCTGCGGCTGGGCGCAGGCGGAAGGATCGGAGGGCTGACTCACACTCTGGTGGGCACTTAGGTCTCTGTCCCTGAGTTCCCGCTGGGTCTCTGCTTTAATTCTACAGCACTGGAAAGAACAGCAAGGGAGGGAGGGAGGGAGGGAGGGAGACGCGGTCAGCCAGCGAGGGAAAGGCCTGGCACAGGACACCCACCCACTCACCCTGAAAATCCAGGGAGAAGGCTGGGGTTCCTCCAGCCACCCCACTCCCTCCCCAGGCCCCTCCGGACCAAGACAGGCGGGTGGGAAGGAGGCCGGTAACTGACCAAGCCAGACGCATTAGGCCAGACTTGCCAGGGACCCCCAACCCACCTTGAAGACCCTGCAGGGCGATGGTGGTGTTATCGCAACAGCCCCTTTCCAGAGTCCACCATAAATAAACCAGCCTGGCTCCTTCTGGCTTCCTTCCTCCAACCCGCCCTCTCCCCTCCTTTTTATTCCCAAACCCTTCCAGAATTGGTTTGGTGCTTCCGGGGGACCCGGGGATTTCGTTGGCCGTCCGTGGGGTCAAACCCCGTAGCTTTTAAGAGGGACTTCTCCCCTTTAACCTATAAAAGACTCGTTCTACAGGACACTAAGACAGCAGCCAAGGCGCTCCTTTGTCTGCCCAGGTGCTGAAGGGGCTACGGTGTGTGTTTTCCCAGGGAGGCGCCCTTAAACTGCCCTGTGAATAAAGCTAGCAGGTTCCCAATCGGTTTTCTAGTTCTGGGTACACACTCCGTGCAATTCGGCACATCCCACGACAAACATTAGCAAAGGCAACTGATAACTGCCGACACACCCATTTTAAAAAATGACACAGCAGGAGAACTATTTGAGGCGTACAAGCATTTTGCTGGCTGGCTCCTGAGGGCTGAGAGGGTTTCCGCCTGCAGTCACAGCCATCTGCAACGAGCCAGAAAAAGTTCCCCGTTTGTGCCCTCAAGAGTTACCTCGGAAGATACGGGCAAATGTTGCTTTTAGCAATAGTTTTTGTACAACTCCCATCGTAACAAAAGTTTTTAAAAGGATAATAAAGAAGACAGCGAGATGCTGCAAATAATTAGATCGCTAAATGAATGTAACAGAACCTGATTAAAACAGAACTGAAGGGATAAATCAATTCAAAGCGTTACGAATGCACAGTTTTTCTACCAATGAAGTTTATCTCCAAAATGCTACAGCTAACTATTAAAACCTATTTACTTGCTAATCCCAGGTTGAAGTTAAAATTAGTTGTTTCCCCAGCAAAAATTTAGTTCTCTCCATATCCTTACTAAACCGGTGTCCCGCAAATCACTTGTCGTGTTCTATGATGCCTCTGTCTCTGACCTGCTTTTTTATTCCTGAAGCTGGACAGCAAAATAATCCCTTCCAGAACTTCAACAGCTGGAAAAGGAAGCCAAGCCTGCCCGAGGGCACTTAGGATTTATTTCTTGGGAAAGAAAAAATGGGAGGCAGGAGGGAAGAGGGAGAACGAGGAGGCAAGATTCCGGGAAGGCCTCAGCAGGGCAAGAAAAGCCGACTGGACCTGCCTGCAGCACCTGACTGACCAGAGAGGTCTGGCCCCGAGGGCCCCTTGAGCGCCTGCAGAGAAGGGGAGCTTCTGTGTCCAGAAGGGGACACCACATTCCCGTTCTCAGCCCAGCGGGAGAAAGCCACAGGGCCTGCAGGACCCACTGACCTGGGCGGAAACATAGGCCAGCTGGCTGTCCTTCTCCCGGCTCTCCTGCCTCAGCTTCTCGGTCTCCGTTTTCAGTTGCTGGATGCGCTGCTCCTTCGAGACCACGTCCTTTTGCAAACTGGTCACCAGTCCTGCAGGGGGCAGCAAAGGAAATCCAAAGCCATCAGCTCAGCTGCCTCCAGCTATGGGGACTTGGGGGCGGGGGGGATGGGGGGGAGAGAGGAGGTTAACTGGAGAGGGTGGGAGGGTGAGGGAAATGGGCTGTCAAACGCCGAGAGGAGGAGAAAGGCGGCCTCCCTTAGGGATCCTTTTCTCTCACTGGTTCGCCTTCTGACTGAAACTACTGCCCAGGAGACCTGCATGGAGCCAGGATGCGGGGGTCCCCCCGTCCCGTCCCCGACTTTTCCTCTTCCAGTTAGATCCCCTCCCAGGCAGCCTTCACAGGTTTTATTGGGAAGATTTTGCAGAAATGGTTGGCCATTGCCTCCTTCCTGGGGCAGAGAGGGAGGGGCTGGCCCAAGGTGACCCAATTGGCTTTGTGGCTAGGGAGGGACTGGAATTCCCCATCTCCCGAGGTTTGGCCCGATGCCTTCACCACTGCACCACACTGCCTCTCCCTCCCCTGCTTTAATCCAGCACTGTTCTGGGACGATAAGCCTTCTTCACGGGGAGGAGGCAGCCACACTGAGGGACCTGTAACAGCCCCCGCACCACACCCCCAGCGGAAGGAGTGGGTCCCCTCCGTGAAGGATGGTGACATCCAAGAGCCTCTCTGGGAGTCTTTCCCAATCCCCTGGTTTTCCTGGCGGGGCCCTTCCTGAGGCTTGCTCTCTATGGCCTTCCTCCTGGTTTCACAGGGACTAAAGGGAGCCCAAGGCAGCGGGCAGCACCTGTGGTGAGCGCATGGCTCTTCTTCAGGGCTTCGTTCTCCTGCTTCCAGTGGGCGATTTGCAGGTCGCGGTCCGAGAGGGAGTGGCACAAGACTTCGCTGGTGTTTCTCTGCAGGCCGGTCACCTGGGAAGAAAAACGCAAGGGCAGCAAAAGAGGTAAGTGCCTCCTGGCCCCTGAAAGGAGGCGCTTGCACTGCCCGCGCACCAAGGCACGCTTTGCCCACCGACAGTGAGAACACGCACGCACGCACATACACGGGACAGCACCATCGCCACATTCCCCCCCTCCCCCACCTGCTCCTTCAGCCTCCTAATCTCTTCGGCCTTGGCTTCGGAGTCTCTGTCGAGGCTGGCCAGCTTCTGATGGAACTCGGTGTCCTGTTTGGCCAGAGTTACCACCACCTTCTCGTTCAAGGCCGAAATCTCGTGCTGGAGCTCTGCGATCAGCGTGTCCTTGCGGCTGCACTCGCTTTCAAAGGCAGACAAGCGGTTGATTTCCTCCCCCAGTTTCAAAATGGTCTCTTCCTGCACAAAAAAATAAGTGAATAAACCAAACCAGAGAGGAAAAGGACCCTATTCTTCTTCTCCCCTGGGAGGTTTCCGGCTAAACCCTTCCGCAAATAATTCTGCAACTCCCTTATGAAAGCAGGAGCCAGAGGGGAAGAACCCCTTGGACCACAAGTTCTTGCCTGGGCCAAAACCTTCCTTTTTAAGATTTTTTATTTTTATTTTTAATGACAATACTTGAGGCTGATGGTCTCAAATGGCTTCCTACAACTCAGCGTCGGTGTGGAGAAACGGGGACTGCCTGGAGGGAGAAGCAGGCTGGCCTTGCCTAGGAGGGCCTTCGGGGCTCCTCACACTTGGGGAAGGGCATAAAAAGCAGAGTTCCTCACTCACCTTCTCTTTGAGAAGCCCTTCCCCTGGGCGGCTGCTGGCGAGAGGGCCAGGGAGGGCTCCGTTGCCTGGAAGAGAACAGAAAAGAAGTGGGCGGCCCATTGACAGAGACACGGGGCCTCCCTTCTCCCCACCCCACCCCACCCCCATTGCGAGCGATGGAGTGAAGCTCAGATCCAAACTCCAGGCTCGGTTACTGCAGGTAGACTGCCTTGCTCGGTCCCCCGTACCTGTGAGGGAGGCTGGAGGCCAGCTGGAAGGCTCAGGAGAGAAGGCAGAGGAGGAGACGGTCCTGCCCCAGGAGCTCCCAGGCAGCCTCTTTCGGAGGGGGGGGCGCGGGGAGGTCCCGCTTGCTGCGGAGGGCCAGCTGGGGCTGGCGGGTGAAGACTGCTGAGAGGGAAGCAATGGAAACTGGGGAGCCGCTGTTGCCGATGGAGGGGAGGCTGTCTCTCTAACCACCTGGATTTGGCCCGGCCAGGCAATGCGCCGATTCACCGGAGGATAAGGTGCCTGCTGGAGGACATGGGAGGAATCTTGTCTACCCCCACAGCCTTTCCCAGGGGGCCCAGACGCGGTAAAGGTCAGCTGGCTCACCTCATGCTCCGTGAGGATTTGAGCTAATTACGCACCATGCTCTAATTCCTTCGAGGGAGTTGGTCAGTTAAGGAATATGGAATATGATAAATAGATGGCCTTCATCCCACTGGACAGGCAGGAAGGTCACTGCGTGGGTGGGCGGGTGGGGGCAGTGGCTATCATAGGAGGACAAGAACGCCGAGGCTGCCAATGGGGGACCTTGCCCAAGAAAGGACCCCCAGGCGTGCTTACCCCACCCCCCACCCCACCCCGCCAACCTTCACAAACCCTGGACCGGAAGAGGCCAAATGTCAGCGGCTGGGTGTGGAAGAGTGGGCTGTCCAGCCAAATTCCTTGGAAGCCGGAACATTCCAAAGACAGAAACTGGGCCTTCTTCCGCCCGAGTGGAGTCCGGGAACAGGCAATTCAGCTCCCATAAGCCCGGAAATCGCCATGCCAGCCATCCCTCGTTTGGGCCAAGCCGTTTCCCTTTAGTGGCCGGCAGGGCCCAAGCGGGTTCTCCGGTGGGGAGAGGAGCAGGCTCTCCGTCGCCACCCCCTCCCTTACCTGAGGTGGGTGGTCCAGTACCAGCTCAAAGGTTGGCCCGCCGGAGCCGAAGCGCAGGAGGTCTCCCGGGCCCACCTTCACGGCCACATTCTGGATCTGGCAGTCGTTCACAAAGGAGCCGCTGCCAGTATTGAAGTCCCGAAGAACAAAGCTATGCTCGGCGTCACTGAACTCGAGGGCAGCGTGGTGGTCTTCCAACCCTGGAGACTGAAGTGGGGTGAAGAGGCTTTTTAATCTAACTGCATCCGGAGCACAAATGAAAGGCAAGACCATCCCCAGGGAGTCGGGGGGGGGGGTTCGTCTTTTTCTCTCTCACCACTAAGATTTATGCTTTTCACACATTCAAGTCAATCATACTGCATTCCAATGTCCGAAACCAAAAATCAGACTGCTTTAAATAAGACTGTTGTGAGGCAGCAGAGAGACAAAAATTCCAGTATGCCAGCATTAGCTTTGGAAGAGGGGAGGAGGGCTCTGGATCATTTAGCAGATTTGACCTCTGTCCTTGGCTTCCACTTTTTTAGGTAGGTTCAAGAACTTATTGGAGCCCGCAAACATCTGGACTGAGAAGTGGCCTGAAACCCCTGGGTGACAAGTAAAAATTAGCAGCAGTTAAGAATCACCGCTGTGGTGTCCAGTTAGAAACTGGGAGCCTGGGAGTTCTAGTCCCACCTCATGCACAAAGCCAGCTGGGTGATCTTCGGCTGGTCACTTTTTCTCATCCCTAGGAAGCAGGCAAGGACAAAGCACTTCTGAAAGTCCTTGCCAAGGAAAAAGCAGAGGCTTATTCTGGTGGCCTCCAAGGATTGGATGGGATTGAATGGAAGAAAAAATGGGATTGCCAACCCGTTGGGCCTTGGCCCTCAGCCGGTAAGGTCTGCACCCAGCAGCCAAGCCAGTGTGCGTGCATGTGAAAGTGCAGCTCCCCAATCCTTGTTTCCCCCCCCCCCACACGATCTTTTTTGAACCAGCAAGTCCTACCGGTCTTCCCCCTTTTACGTTCAGAGTCAATCCCTTGCTCAACATGAAGCTTCTTCTTTAATTCTGAGATTACAAGTTTGAAGAGATTCAACCGCGTGGGAAATATGGGGGGGGGCTCCAGCCCCCCACCAGGGGCGAGACCAGATTGTCCCACAAGGAACCTTTGGGGCCTTTACCTTAAGAACGATGTCCGAGTCCTCATGCTTCCCTATTGTCGTAATCTTTGGCCTGAGCGCCAAGACACCGTCCGAGCTCCTTAGGAAGGCCTTCATGCTCTCTGGGGAGAAAGCCCAGGCGGAGTGTTTGAGAGACCTTTTTTTTCTTTTTTTTGGGGGGGGGGGGGACACACAACTACACAAGCCGCCCTGGGGCAACGGCCAAGGCAGGTTCTCTCAAAGGGAATGGGACCCAGAAGAAACTGGCCACTTTTCTTTCGTTTTTGCACCTGGCAGCTTTGCTTAAATTGGGAAATGCCCATCAGGCCCCCTCGCCTCCCCGCCCCCTCTGCCAGCCCTGGCCTGGGGGGGGCGGGGGGGGCTTGGCTGGGGAAGGCCCCCGCAAAGGAGGGGGGGGGGGGGGACGGGGGGGGTGTGGGGGGTTTCCCTGGAAGAACCAACGTTTTATTCCTGGCCTTTAAATCGGTTACTCGGGTGATTCAGCCCTGCCTGAGCCCCCCACAGCCCCCCCCCAAAGCTCTGCGATGGGGGCCCAGGACGCGAGGTGGGGAAATATGGAAGGGCGGGGGGCTTCCTGAAGAACCCGAAGCCGGAGCTCTGTCCTCTGCGGCCGGGCGCTTTCCTGAGCCCACCGTCCCGGGCGAGGAGGGGGCCGGACCCAGCGGGGCCCCCCTCCGCTCTCCGTCCCTCCCTCAGGGATCCAGAGCCCGCTTCAAAGGCAGAGCCCCCCCCGCTCCCCGAGAGGAGGCCCTCTGCACACGAAACTCACCGCGGGGCTCTCTGCAACCGAAACTCACCGCGTGGTCGTCGAGCGAAGCCGGCGCAGGCCCGCTGAGGCGACGACCCCACTCCCGCCAAGTGAAACCGTACCCATGGCAACCGTACCTTAGGCCACACCCTTCCGCCGGAAAGAGCGCGTCTCCGCGGCAACCGGCATCGTAGTGGGCCGAGGGGGTGTTCCCATGGAAACCGAGCGCAGCCGGCAGTCTGGCGCACGCGCAACTAGCGCACCTATGGACGAGCTTTGAGCGAGCGGCCCCGCCCTCAGTGAAGCTCATCGCTCCCAGGCGGACTTCGACTCCCAGAACCCCTCAGCCCTCGGACCTGTTCACACAGCGTGCCAAGTTATTGCCCTATGGCACCTTTTGACAAGCGAGGAGTCCCCCTCCCCGAGGGTCTTGGACCCCATTCTTACCCCAGTGGGGGCTGCTGGATCCCCGCCAGGGGACCCCCCCTTGAAACAAAGCCAGCAATCCCAGGGGCACACCAGACCCTCACACACACACACACACACACACCCAAGAACAGAGGATAAAAACAGCCGTTAAATCAACATCTCACTCATTTATTCTTTTTTTTAGAAAGGGCTTCCTTCCCCCCCTCCTCCCCTCCTCCCAGTTTAAAAAAAGGTACACCCTCTTGGAAAAAGAAGTTTCACATTTCCAGTTCAACAGCTACAAAACCCAAGAGGAACAACAGGGGAGATGGTCCAGAGCCCCCCTCCCCAAATGAAGATGTTTCTGGAGCCTGCAGCAGGTGCCGGTGGATCTGGGCTATTCTCTTTGGCCCTTGCAATGTTTGATTTCAAGTTTCCCGAATTTCCTTTGCTTTGCCGAAAATCCACATTTGGTGGAAAAGGAGGCCGGGTTTGAAGCCCCATTGCTGGAAACTGCCACAAAAAAATTAAAAATTAGCCTGGCAATCATGCCAGACTGGAGAGCTAGTTTGGAGAGGTGCTCATTACCAGATATAAAAATGACATCATTTAGAAAAAACACACACACAAAAGCACAGATACACTATAACCTCAAGGTTCATATTGCTAAGATGGTATCAAACCTGCCCCTCAGGCCCTGGCCTTGAGCCGAGTTTGCAGAGGGGATTTGGCAACCTTCCCAAACTATCCATCCAGCAGGTTGGAAGGAAAGAGCAGGAGAAAAGGGCGGAGTCTGGTGGGGGGGGTGTTTCCTTGGAGGGGAAAAGGTGGCGGGGTATTTCTCAAATCCCGGATGGGCCAGGATCACGAGGACGAACACCACGGAAGCAATCTGCGAGAGCCTGGCTCATGCCTCTTCTCCTCCCGAGCTGAAACACACACACCCCGCCACCCGTCCTGTTGGGCTAGCAGGTCCAGCTGAACCCTGGGGAGCGGGGTGTTGTGAGGGGGGCCTCTGGCTCGGCTCCAAAGCTGGCAGCTGGACATGAGGCATCCCCACCCTGGCCCAAAAGCGCTTCCGGTGCTTCCTGCAAAGGGGTCCCTCGGAGCGGCTTCAGGGCTCCCCCTCCCGGGGGTCTGGCAGCTTGGGGGGCGTCTCGTCGTACTGCGGAGGGGGAGTGAGCGGCTCGATGGTGACCCGGGCAGGAGGGGTGCCGCCCAGCTGGAGGTTCTTCAGGTGCAGCTTCTCAGACTTGATCCTGCGCACTTTCAAGGGCTTCAGGCGCTTGCTGAGGCGGGAGCTCTGCCGGGCGGGTGGGCGCTCTGCCCCCATGGCTGTCCCTGCGGCCTGGCTGGGCCTGGTGGGGAGGCTTTCATCCAGCCCCGTGAGAGACTCGTAAGAAGGAAGGGAGACGCTGATGCGGGTGCCACGCTCGGCCTCCAGCCTGGGCTCCTGCGGGTAGAGGCCATTGACTGCCTCCTCGTAGCTGGGCACGTAGTAGCGGGACAGGCTGTCGTTGTCGTCTTCTTGGCTGCGGGGGGGGGGGGCAGATCGGGAGAGATGAGTGCTCAGGCGGGCCACCCCCCCCGGCCCCTCCCCCTCAAACGTCTCTCCCCCCTCCCCCTCTTAAAAGCCCCGAAGGCTGGAACAGATGACCCCAAAGGCCAAGGTTAATCGTGGCAACCCACCAGCAATCAGTGGGGAGACTGTTGCCATCCAACCTCCCTTGCTACACAGTGGCCCAATGGGGGCTGTCCCCCCCCCCCCCCCGCCCGCCCGGTCCCCTCCCAGCAAAGAGGGGATAACGAAGGGCAATTCCCCGAAGGCTCTGCAAAGCCTCCGAACCAGGGCTGGTTCTAGCAACCCTGTTTACAAGATGTGTGATGCGTATGAATTCACTGTCCACACACTCAGGCGTTATGAGGCTTGCTGGGTGGGTCGTTCAGATTTAGGCTGCCGGCCAGGGCTTGGTGCGACTCCTGCTCTTTGGATGCAACTCCCAGGGTCTCACCCAGGAGGCAAAGTCTCGCCTCCAACGGCTTCTGGAGAAGGCTACTCAGATGGTGCGGATATGGCCCTACGAGGAGCCTCCGAAGGAGTTTGCAAGGAACCTTCCATGCCAGTCACAGCCAGGGCTGAACTGAGCCCCAGTCTGCATTTATCTGGTCCCAGAGCTGACCAGGGTCTCCCACAGGAGATCTGGGCGAAGGTTGAGGGGGGCCCTTACTCGCTGGACGCTGAGCTTTGGCCCTTCCCAGAAAGGAAAGGCTGCCTCTGTTCGGCTTTTGGGGACAGGTTGCCCGGCCAGAAGGAGATGCCAATTGGGGCTTAACTTCATTGCGCCCACTTTGTGGCTGAGACCATGAAGTGCCCCTGCCAGGAGCCAGGGCTCAAAAGGAACTCCCCAGGCACACGGGCAGTTACGGGGCCTCTTTGCAAACTCTGGGTGGGAAAGTGGCCCTCCCTGCTCACCTGTCCTCTGGGGGAGGCTGCTCAGACGAGGGCGGAGGTCGTGTCCGGACAACGTCGTCTTGGTGGTGCCTTGGCTTCCTTCTGTCCCGGATGGTCAAGCAGATGGAGAAGAGGAGCAGCAGGACGCCGGCGCCGACCAGGACGTAGGCCACCGAAAAGGTCTTGTTCCTGTGCAGGAGCCCTTTGCTGACCTCGGTCTCGTTGTGGTGACCGCTGGTCGGGTGAGGCTTGGCGCTGAGGCCGAAGCCCGGGACCAAGTTCCAGACGGCCATGATGACTCCAAGGACCAGCATCCCCAGCCCAATGGCCGTCAGGGCATAGTGGGAGCCGCTGCTGGACCTGGACTGGGCCATCCTCAATGGTTCTCAGGGGAGACCCAGCGGATTCCCTTCCTCCTCCCCTGAGATTGCTCAGAAGATCCAAGCGGGAAATGGGGATCTGGAGAAAGACAAGGGAACGGGATCAATTTCAGGCGAAGAAGACTATTCCTGGCAAGGCAGTGGCTGCAGAACTGCAGAAGTTAAAATTTGGCCTGTTGTCTTTCTAACATTTGGGGACATAAAATTATCTGAGCCACTTCTGGGCGCGGGCCCCCACCCCTCTTTGGAATGACGGAAG